ACTCCAAGCACTATGACCCCTTCAGTGATTTGAAGTGGTCATGGTGCCAGGATCGTGTATCTTATTTTTCATTGTGTATTTTATATTTCATACAGCTATTACTGTTTTACCGAGAGCACTATCTGTGGCTGTTTTTATTTTCTATCCAAGTACCTAGACAACCACCTGCTGTGATCAACCTTCACCATATCCCATAAGTGGGGATTATACCACTATAGGCGATTCATAATAGAGCTGGTCATAGCTCTCTTATATGTGAGTGTAATATTATTTTTACCTATACATGGCCTATTAAGCCCTGACATATTGCATCAGGTTATCTTTACCCACATACGGAGACCAAAGCAGGACTGGACCGGGGATTCCAAAGCAGCCCTGGAAAAAAAATCTATGCCAGCCCCATAAGTCATTGCGCCATATATTGTCGCATGTAATATGTAAGGCTATGTCTTGCCACCCTAGATGATTGATATATATATATATATATTGCTTTTTCCACTATAAACTATTGGTCCTTTCAGAATAAAATTTTTCATTATACAGTAAGCATACTCACATGCAGACACAGACAATCTCACTGACACAAGCTGATTGATACACAGCCTCATAAACAAACAATCTCACTGATATACATAAGGTCATTGACATAAAAACACAAGCTCACTCAGTAGCAGGCACACACACACACAAGCAAGCCCACTCACTAGCAGGCGCGCACACACACACAGCTTAATGTAGTGGCTTAATGTAGTGGCTTAATGTAGAGAAAAGGCAGAGTTTACATTGCTTCCTAGTGACAGACACTCAGACGGTCACTAGAGGTGCTTCCTGTGTCAGTGCGGATTGGCTGAGATCATCAAGCTTGATGATCTCAGCCGTAGAGGCAGGGCCAGTCGAGGGGAGACCAGCACGACGTGGGGGGATAAAAAGGTGAGTAAAAACGCACATACACACACACATACCATGACAGACACACACCATGAGACAGACAGACCATGACACAGACAGAAACACACACCGTGACACAGACAGAAACACAGACACACCATGACAGACAGACACACACACCATGACAGAGATACACACATACCATGACAAACACACACACATACCATGACAGACACACACCTTAAAAAAGACACACACACACCTTGACACACACACACACCATAACACAGACAGACTGTGACACAGACACACATTACATGACACAGACAGACACACACACCACGACACAAAGAGACCGTGACACAGACACACACACTGTGACACAGACACACATTACATGACACAGACAGACCGTGACACAGACAGACACACACACCTAATGACACAGACACACATTGCATGACACAGACAGACGCACACATCATGATAGACAGAGACACACACAGACACACACAATGACACAGACACACATTGCATGACACAGACAGACACACACACACACATACCATGACACAGACAGAGACACACACACACACACATACCATGACACAGACAGACACACACACACATAATTGCTACCTGTGTGCTGGCATGGGGAGCTCTGATGGCAGCCGCATGGGGGAGCTGGCTCTCCTGGCGGCCACAGGGGGAGCTGGCTGTTCTGTCTCTGCTCCCTCTCCCCAGCGCACTGCTTAATGAGACTGGTGCCGGAATATGACGTCATATTTCGGCCCCAGTCTCATTAAGCAGTGCGCTGGGGAGGGGGAGCAGAGACAGAACAGCCAGCTCCCCCTGCGGCCACCAGAAGAGCTCCCTCTGTGGCCGCAGGTGAGCCAGCTGCCTGCCCGGCCCCAGGTGCCGACGGCCCACTGGGAAATTTCCCGGTATCCCGGAGGGCCAGTCCGGCCCTGGACCAAAGACACCTAAACCTTCCACATCCCCCAAGCATAAAGAACCTAAGATCCATAGCTGAACAAACTTTTTGGATAAGAGACACTTTTATATTTGCACAGGTGGAACAAGACCTACAGTACTTTTGTTCTCATTTTATTTTATTTTATCATATGTGGCGCAGCCCTTTCCTGTCTTTTTTTTCCCTTGTGTTACTCTAAAGGGTTGAGATTGAGCCCCTTTTTAGGGTTGCAGCCTTGTTGTTTATAATTTTGTGTTACTAAACGCTGACCCATTTGTGTTTTTTATGTGTATGTGAAGAGTTTCGCTTTGAAATGCGGCACATAAAGAAATTACCCCTTCGCTGCCGGAAGTGTAACTCCACCTTCAACAGGGGCATCATTAGGGTGTCATCAACCAGCCCCGAACAAGTCTTGAGATACCTAATGTCAAGTTCTTTGCAACTTTTTTTGAAAGCTGGAAGCACATCACCCAATCACTCTAATTCTAAATTCAATAATCCTACACACATTTTATACCACAACTGTAACCCCTCTCAAGTTTTTAATCCTCCTAACACTCTATGTATGATATCTAACTCTGATATTAAACCCTATCTGGCCTTAAATCCCCTTTACCCTAACCACTTCTAACATTGTCTTTAAGGTTTTGCACCTTTATATAGACATATGCATTTGCTAAATAGTATATATCATTTTTTTTACTGCAATTTCCAGTTAATACATGTATTAAATGCACTTTATCAGCCTTTTTTTGCAGGGGGAGCAGGCAGAGTTGTGCTGTGCCTACACACTGTGACTGACATGTAAATCCAGCCCTACTCATTGAGTCACACATAGGCACACTCTCTGACATATGCACAAGTAAGCACACTCACTGGCACATGTTTTAACTAGGGACACCAAAATAAAATTGTATTTCAAGATATTCTTGGGTAAAATGAAGACTGTTGTATTCAGTCTACTTCATCCATAAGGTATAATATTTTGTTTTATTTATATAAGGATAGCTTATGAAACTAGCAATATGGCAACAAAGCTTGGTTAGCAAGTGTATAGATTAGCAGATATAATTATACACTCACCCCATATACAGACGACCCAGTAAAGCCAACCCCGGTTTTCTGTAGACAGTGGGCTTGGAGAAATGTAACAAATTTAACTGGGGTGATATCTTAAACAGAATATTGGAGAAAAATGAGATAATTTTGGCCATAATTGGATCAAAACTCAGAGCTCAGATGGATTTTATTCTAATTACTATGAAATCCTTTAGGAGTATTGCAACAAACTCTAAGGTGATATGGTCTTATTGGAAACTCTATAATAAACTCACATTGCCCTCATCCTTAAACTGCATAGATATTCATATTTAATTGCTCTGTAGACCCCAATAACTCCTCTAGACCACTCAAATTATTGACAAAAATCAATAGTACATAGGTTTCATTTTTTTCTACTCAAATTTCTTTGAGACAAGCAGTCTATCTTGTATCTTCTTGCAGTAATTTGAAGCTGTGACTCCCCAACATACTGGATACAGCCAAAACAAACAGAATTCAATTTAGTATCATAGACTTACACGTTGAAATGCCATTTTTTAATCTAATCAGAATTTGCATAAGAATAATAGAACCATGCTCTGAATCAATAATTAAGACTTAATAGGTTAGGCAAGGTTGCCCGTTATCATTTTTCGTTTTTAATCTAGCTCTACATGCCGTTCTCAGATTACGTCATGATGCCTCCATTTTGAAAAGGGATTGCCATACAGTCATGCAAGATCAAGCTGATTGTGTTTTGTAGATGACATGCTTTTTAGTATATCTCAAACCCATAGATGGATCTTATAATATAATATCAATCACTGACAAATATGGAGCAGTTGTGGCTTTGGAAAGTGGTTTCTCTTATGGTTTCAGTACCCCAGTCTGACATTCTTAAAAGTCTGGCTTCATTAAGCATAACTTAGCAGCCTCATCATTATTAAATACCTGATAGTTCTGATACCATGTAACCTCTCCGAGTTGCATTCACTTAACATCACAATCACTATTAGTCATATAGAACATTTGTTGGGACGCTGGGACTTCCTGATGCTATTCATCTTGGGTAAAGCATGTTTACTTAAATATGTAATCTTTTTGAAATTTCTATATCATTTACAGATGTTACACCTCATACGCTCCAAAACAGATGAAAAATAAAGCTTAACCCTTTATTATTTGTCTCTTTTTTTTGTTAAAAAGGAAAGATGCCTAAAACTGTAAACCCAAATTTGACCAGGAACTGAACTGCCTAAATATATTGCTATATAATCGAGCATAAAGATACAGGCATGCTATGGGTTAGATGGTTTAGGAGTCTCCTGATGTGGATCTAACACAACTTTAACATGAGGGTAAAGTGAAGCTCCTACAATACACCAGAAGCTTGCAAATGGTACAAATACAATTAGGCAAAATTTCTCACTTTGTCCCTTTAGTATCTCACTCAGCTTTTCACACCAGAGAGGCGTGAGAACCATTTCTCTCAAATGAAAAGGAGGGCATTGTTTTCATTAAAATTTTGTTTTGCAAAATCAAATGTTTTTAAGTATTCTTCAAGTACCTCTTGTATAATAAACTAGATACACAACTATTAAAGTCCTCAGATTGCATATTCCTTTGCCTATTCATTTTTGAGGAAGTTTATTTTTTAACAAATGCCATCACACAATCATATTAAGTGACTAATTGTTAAGACAATAATGTTAGGTATTTTAGATTAATCGTTTAATAATAAATTTTAAGATGACAGTGTTTGGACAGGCCAGCATACAGATGGCTGGAAGATGGTTAACATTATTGTTTAAACGCAAACCGTGGGACGTTCAATCCTAAACCATAAATCTCTGCCCCGAAGATAAATGTTTAGTGCACAGAATCCATCATATCTAAAAAGCCAAGGAGAAACATCCAATAAATATAAGTGATACCATAAGGGCATAATAAATTGACGTTGGTGATTCAAGAACAAATAACTTCCTTTTAGGTTTATATCTGGATCCAGGGAATATGACATCTCTTGTCAAATAGCATTGGTTATTAACACTGCAAGGGTCCAAGGTGAGTAAAAAAATGTATAAACAAATAATTCACACCACAAACTATATTTTAATGTATTAAAAATAAACTAGCACTTTATTTCATTGCAAGTATGACACATTTCCTTAATTTAAAAACATTAAGTGGTCAAAAAGGGTACATCCGAAAGAAGGTTATATTCTTTTACAGACTTTTGTTGGAGTCTCGATGTCATTTAATGAAATCTATTCATATCCCTAGACTTGATATTTTTTCAATCCTATAGAACAATTGAGCATTATGACATTTTGTCATTTAATTACAACTGTCATGGATGGAGTTATTTTTCTAAGCCAGTAATTAGTAATAAAAGGACCCACAGTGTTTGTCAACATTTCCATCAATGTCCCCTGTAATCACCGTTTCAAAAATTTGAGACTTGTTTCCATACTTTTGGCAATTACAGACAATCTGGTAATCTCGAAAATGAAGGTCAGTTAATGTTAATACGGCTCTGTCACCCCATTCCCCCAAAACAAGTATTTCATATAGAAAGAATCTGTATGAATTATGAACATTGACTGTGTTGGAATTTCACTGAAATTTCAACCCAGTCCAAAGATATATTGAGACAAAGTAGGCACTGCTATGTCTCATTATTTTTCTACGCTTGACAAAAAAGGAAGTTACTTAGCTGATGTTATCTTACTTTAGAAGTTTTTTTATTTCCTGCTCTGTAAATTGAACTTTAATCACACACAAGAGCTATTTGACAGGTCTAGCAAACTACTAACAGAGCAGGAGATTAGAAATTCGAAATTAAACAGAGTATGCAATAAAGGAAGTGTAAACATTAGTTCACACTTTACAAGAAGTATTTAGAAATGCTTTGCACGTTACATGCAGGGGGTGTGACTAGGGCTGCATAAGCTATTTAACTCCTAAATGGCAGAGAATTGAGAAGTGAGACTGCAGGTGCATGATCTATACACCAACACCGCTTCATTAAGTTAAAGTTGTTTTGGTGATTATTGTGTCCCTTTAACAGGAGACAATACATGTAACACCAGACAAAGTCACTAGCTTTCTCAGTGTGACATCTACTTGAAAAAAAAAAAGTTAGCAAACTCCCACTACATCCTGTAATTTATTTTATATTTACCTATATTTAATCACTAAAGCCTGCCTATAAGAATGGTGTATATAGCTTTCAATAAATGCTTTTGAAACTTCCCAAGTCAGATGTATGGACACACTAAGGCAGGCTTCCCCAAACTCCGTTCCTCCAGATGTTGCTGAACTACAACTCCCATGATTCTATAAATGAAATAGAAAGGCTGAGAATCATGGGAATTGTAGTTCAGCGACATCTGGAGGGCCAGAGTTTGGGGAAGCCTGCACTAAGGTATTTATTTACTAAAGGGCAGATTGATTACCAAGCCTTAGCTCTGTAATTTTTTCCTTAACTTGCTAATTATTTTTACTATTCACTAGAATTAGCTGTTACGTCAATAAACCTTTAAGGGCAACTTGCCCAGACAATGGCACGAAAAAGAACCTTAACAGTGTCCTAGTAGAATTGCTACAGCAATTAATTGGAGAAAACACATTTTTTTCCAATTTCCAAATTGGTAAACACTAACCGGTGGTCAGTATCAGTCAGTGGCTACAGAAGTAAATAGCATACGTGTGTTAAGGAAAGTGTGAACCAAGGAACCCAATCAGTATTTTTTAGCCACAATGATGACAGTTAGTATTAATGATGCTTAATTGTTGCTTTTGATAAATAAGCATAAAAACAAGCTCATGCAGGATGTTTACTAAAGTGTATATTGTTGAGAATTGAATCTGAAAATCAATTTCAAATTATAATACAAAATAGCTGACTTGAAAATAGTTTTCTGTTGTTATTTTGCCCCATAATATGGAATTAACTTTCAATTTCTGACAGTTCTCACCTTAGTGAATACATTTGTTGGTGTCTCTCTTGTGTGAACCTGTGAAACCTCTGATATTATAAACCTAATGTATTTTTCCCCCCCAATTTACTGTCCTTAATAAATGTCTCCATCTAGTTATTGTTGAAGATATTTACTGCTGGGGGCATGTTTGTCTAAAAAGATTATATGTCATCTTAAGCAAGTCTTACGACTTTATCTTGGAAATGGGTAAAGAGGGTATGGAACTATAATACAAACACGTTTTCACACAATTCTTTCTAGATCTTTAGGTGCCTAAAGTGTCTCTTTAATTTTATCCTGTCTCCTATATAAATAATAGAGAATCTTTATAAAGGAAAGAAAGCTAAGCTTGGGCTGATGGTTTAAGTTTTGGGTAATGTTTAAAGGCTTGACATTATGTTTTTTTGTAGCATTAGGTAGGTACCCCTAATCCTATACACCGTTTTACCCAAATTCAATCAACTTTACCTTAACCCCCCATACTTTCTGCATTTAGACTGCAGTACCCCGGGTCAGTATATCTTCGATAACTACAGTGTTCCCGTTAATGTAACGATGCTGTGCATTATAAGTTTATTTATTTTAATTATAAAATATTTTACTAGGAACAATACTATAAAGAATGGGTGGTGGTTGTAGGAATTGACAAGCAGAGCATAATCGGAGTAATAGTTAATAAAAACTGGAATGCCAGAGATGAGCTATACTATATCTGAATAGCAGAAAACACTATATCTCTAATAAAAAAATTAATAAAAAGATATATTAGAACATGAATGGTTCTAACCTTTTGTACTAGAGCTGTTATGGACTACATTTTCCAAGAAGGCTAAGTCTCATGGTATACACTGTCTGCAAGAGCTACAATGCCAAAAGTTAGAGGAATCCAATTTTAACAAATTGAAAAACCCAGTGACCAACGAAGGATATTGCAATTAATTCCATGCACACATCCTTGCCACTAGGGCTAGATGGCATTTGATTTTACAGTGACTTTTTATTGCGTGCCTAATTATTTAAAAGATCTCTAATTACTAGTTATATTTATATACGTTTGCGGGAATTGTTAATATAGCACAGAAGGCAGAGGCTTGTCTCTGGTGTGGAGTATCTGAGAAAACAGAGCACTTCTTGTTTGGAATCAGTTCAAAAAAACTGGAACTTGAACATAATCTTATCATTGTCTCATAAATTACTTTAAAAATGGGGTGAAACTGCTTGCAACCCATACAGCATATAACTTCGGTTCTTGTTTTTTTATGCTTTAAACTACCAGCTGGATTTAACATTCCTACAAAGACAATATCTTGGAATATAGACAAAATTGTGGGTATGGTACACAAAAATGGCAAGGTGACCTAAGAGACCATAAAGTACATTACATTTTCAGGTAAGAACCACAGAAGAACCTTTGCATCTACTGAAATGTTCTTGAGCTATACTTTCCTCAACACTCCAACTAATCTCAGGATGGATAATTTGTTCCTCTGTCTCAGGCACATTTAAAGTCACATCATTAGTGAAGTGTCTCAAGGATTTAAACTTGGAAAAGAGTCACTGCCAAGGTGGTGGCAACAAGTAAAATGAGGAGGGCAGTGAAGGGCAGTGAAGGGATTTGCATTAGTGGTGCTGCCAAGAGGGTAGACGTGCTCAGAGAGGGGGAAGGACCTGAATTGTCAAGTCAGCCTGGCAAATTGTGCAGAGAGCGCTGTTTCAGTACTCTCTGCAGGATCCCAATGTCCTGAGCACAGTGTGAGCACATCTAATGATACACTCGCACTATGCTCTCTGGGAACAATGAAACAATTGGGCATAAAGTCAGGAAAGGATCTTTGAAGGAGACCTGCTTCCATGTTCAGCTCCACAGTTGACTTCATACATCTGAGGAGTGCTGAGATGCATGCAGTGATTAGTTCATTTTATGAGTGCTAGTAGTTAATATCTGCAGGGTGTACTTTAGCTGAATTAAAGGTTGTGCAAGCATGACATTGTATGTAGTGAATAGAAAATAAACCCAACTCACCAAGGTAGAAATAATCTTCCTCTTAGTTAAAAACCTATGTTATTAATATTATATTTTGGAAACTCTTTCTAATATAAATTAGTCATAATTGTCCCATTCTTTTTATCACCTGTAGCAATGTGTTCTGAATAATTAATTTTGATACATAATGTATACTTTTATAAAATGGGTCTTTGAGTCTCCTCATACAACCCAGGATCCTTCTGGAAACACTCTAGCTCTGTGATGGCTAGCTCATTAGGGAACTTAGGTGCAGTGTACATTTATCTCAGTTGGAATGGGTTCTGCTCATACCATGCCGGTCACGACCTCACAATGGCAGTACTGTCCACCCTAGATTCTCCCCTTCTTTTTTAAGAGGACTCCCCCTTTCTGGACAGTCAGACAACCTTTGAGATCAGCCATCCTACTTTCCTTCCCCCATAAGATTTCAAGGTTTCATATCTTTGCTGGGTATGTCAGGACTGAATCTTGACAAAAATGACAAAATGCAGAATAGGAAAATATCAGAACCCCTTCCCCTTGTGTATATGAAATTACTTGAACCTTTATTCCTCACTATAAACAATGAGTACAAAACACATCACATTGGGTGATGTGGTCAACAGTAAAATAAAAATGTATGAAATGTATGAATATATAGATATTATAACAGTAAATGTGAATGCACATCTTGCACTCACTCTCTAGGGGTATCCTTGTATTGTGTGTGTAAGGCCGTATAATGAACAAAAACACATAGGCCTGCTCTTTTGGTGTCAAGAAGTCGTTTCGAGCAACATATGTTTTTCATAAATACCATTCGTAATGACACAAGAAAAAGTCATATAGAGTAGTATTATTCATTCTTTATCTTGTTCAGTTGATAATTCATGCCTGCCCTTACCAGACAATTACCTATTCAATATTTTCTTTCAAATGTTTTTTTTTAAACCATGAATTATGGACCCTGGGGATGTAGTATAACAGAAAAACAACCAAACATATAAACGATTAAATAGTACAGATTATACCCTTCCTAACATTTAAATTGCATTATAAAGACTGCTGCTTAACCAGTACCAAATTCTTCTTTGCCTTGTAAAATCCAACGGAATTCAGTAGGAAACATACGGAAAAGCCATTGGTTGGGTTATTTTACCCTATAAAGACCAGCAGGCAAATGTGTCCTTTGGCTGCCCTCCATCAAGGAATGAGAAAATATTACAAAACCTGTGTATCAATCTCATATTCATACTAGAAAATTCTTTGTTGTTGAGAAATATTTGTAATACAAAACATGAATATATAATTTTATATACAATGATATAGATATAAAATACCTATGCTACCATTTTGTTTCCATTTAAAAATATAATGAAGGTATCCATCAGTCATTTTGGTCATTTGGTGGAAGTTAGTTGAATGTCACTGGAATAACAACGTGGATAGTGGTCATCCTATATCAGTTTCTCTTACTCTTGTTTTTGCATAATGTAATGAGCTTAGATCCTTCAGCAGTTTATGTGGGTCGTTTCTCTTTCTCCGTAGAAGCAGCAACAGAAAATAATTTCCACCACATGTAGAAGTACTGACCCACAGTATTATTGTTTGTCAGCAATAAATAAGGACAAAGACACAAATATACATCAATGATCTTTTGGGACTTTAAATATTCTTTAAAAAAATCATTGTCCCTCCTTATCATTTTTTTTGCAGTCTCTGGAGCTTTAACTGTCCTGGTGGAAGGAATGACATAGTTGGTTAGGAGAGATTAAAATTGTCCAATATGATGAAAATTATTATTTCCTCACCAGAGATCACCGGCATGTGTGCATTTCTACCACTTTGTGGCACTGTTTGCATTTAACATAACAGCACCAGTGGAATTTGCAACTGCACCTTTCTATAATTTCCACCTCTTCTGTGTGAAATCCCCTTCCGCAACACATTAGCTCACAACCATCAATAGCCTTGGAAGTCTTGTTACACTGTCGCCCCGTAGTTCCTAGAACACCATTCTTTAAATCATGGTCGCAGAAGTCAGGGCTGGAGTCTAGATACACCAAGTCTTCATCCGTATGTGGTTTGAATTGAGAATTTTTGGGAACAAGAACTTTGGTTGAACCAATCTTTTTCTGTTCAACTTCAGTTGCACCATCAAATTTCTCCTTTAGAACATTCCCAACTTTGCGGAATGGTGGCATAGCTTTCCAGCATGTTTTCACCTCGCAGGAGCCAGAAACACCATGGCACTTACATTCAACTCGCATGTTATTCAAGATGGCCTAATGGTAAACAAAAGTTTGATTAAAATAAAAGACTTCCTAAAGGTTTTGTAAAATGTATATCTGCTCATAAAATGTATTAATGGAAAAATAGAAGTTTTGAAGATTAGGTGTTAAGCTACATTTGCTACCATGACCCCAATCTAGATATGTCCATTGATTCCTGGTGGTCTTTGAAAGACCAGGAGATCTTGTTGCCAAGTGGCAGGATGCTTTTTGTCTCGTATCTCTTGCAGGCAGCTATATTTAAGACAGAGCATCCCTATTTCGTACGACATCTTCCCTGCTCTGTCTCAACATATATGCACTGAGACGGAGGGATATGACATCATATTTCAGAATATTTGTCTGAAACATAGCAGTGAATAGGAAACAGTAGGCAAATCTAGGGGGACACTGAAAAATATGCATGTATTGCTTATTAAACAAATTAAACAAAACAAAAGAAGAATACTGATAATAACATTGTATGTTTTCCTGCTGTTATATTGTAAAGTATTCATCTACATTTATAAAATATAACTTTTAATGAAATATTATTAAAAAATTTAGTCTGACACCTAGAGACTAACAGAGACTAACAGAAATCTAGGTATATCTCTCTTACAATTGTTTATAAGTAAAAAAAAAAAAAAAAAGAGCATATAGACAGATGGATTTAAATTTATACAGGGTTATTCACTTAAGTATGAATTGTTGGGAATTCAAAGTAAATATCAAATTGTTGGGAATTCAAAGTTCAGGCTAAAAAAGCTGAACTGAAAAAATAGCTGATTTTTTTATCCTGAACTTTGAAATTTACTTTGAATTCCCAACAATTCATATTTAAGTATAGCTATGCAAACACAATCTCAACATTGCAAGTGAATTTCAAAATTTAGGCCAAAGTAGTCGATCTGTAAGTATAGCTGACTAGAGTATTTTTCCTATTTTATTTTGTCCCTAACAGACCACACACATAAAGCCCTTCAACTTGCTTAAGTGCGTGTTTGGAGCATGTCACATTTGTGACAGTGTATAATTGGGGAAGAGACAACTCCCTGACTGTCAATCAGACTGCCAGGAGGTTGTCTTCCGCTTCTCTGTAAAGCGTAGTATAGCTCATAGAGAAACATAAGCAAGACATGATTGCGTGCACACTCACAACTTCGCAACTTGAGCACAGAGGCTTCTCAATGAGACACCTCTGATTGGAGTAGTTTGCTGGGGTAAAGGGATGGAATTGCAAAAGCTGCAGACACGAGATCTGCAGCTTTTGCAAGCTGTTTTTAGATCTACACCCAATAGAAAATACATAATTAAATGTGTGCACTTTTTCATTGAGGAATATCAGCTAAATATGGATTTATTATTTATTGGTGGAAATGGAGTGTTCCTTTAAATTCTCAGTTTAGTAAATAACCCTGTCTGTCTAACTCAAACCACTGATTAACTACTGAGTTACCAGCTTGCTGGTTTAAAATGTACATCTGCAATTGCAATTTATAATGAATGAAAAAGTAGCTTGATGTAGCCAATAACCATCAGTTACCTTGCGTCCCGCTTCGTTATTGTGAAGGTTCATGAGAGCACGGCTGGACGAAGCTCCTTTGCTTCTTTCTCGTACATCGACAAAAGACTGTGAGAATGCTACTCCATAAGCAATATTATCTGAACAGCCAGACCACTGGAACCCTAAAAGCAAACATGATAAACAATTGTTCCAAAAATATTTCTGTAACCAGGTCATCTATACAAAAAACAATATAGGAAATGCATTTTATTACGCACTAAATTTCCTAAACTAAATATTTATGTATGAATAGCATTTGGTACGTCAGGTGCATTCTGGGACTTTCTAGACTTTAAGCAAATCTACCTTTTTGAGGCATAAAAAAACATGCAAAAAAAAAAAGGAAAGATTAAAAAAAAGAATAATTACAGAACGTTCTGTGCTAAAATTCAGTCTTGAGGGGAGTCATGTACTCTGGGGAGGAGAAAAGGATAAGGAAATAATTCAAAGTTGTGGGTTGAAAGGGACTCTAAGTTCCATGACAAATACAATGCGCAGTAGTAGTGGTAATGGCACCAGGGGTCCAAATGCACCATCGAAGTGTACGTTTTTGGACATTATTCACAGGCTAAGAGTCATCAGCTAACTTCTCAGTTAATAAACAATGCCCAAACTTGGTATGCTTTGGTATGCTGAAGTATTAACTTATGTTTTAGCATAGCAAGGCAAACTGGAAGGACTGCGGGCACCTGACAGACCCAGCTTCATGTCAAACTGTCCGTAAACAGTTAACAACTTATACTGGACGGCAACAGGGCACCATAAGCAATACTGCGATCTGGTATGTTTATGGTTCTTAGAGTATCCCTTTAAGGGAAGGCAAGTCGGAAGAATCACAATCATACATAATCTAAAGAACTTGGTTTCCCAATACTGGACATTTGGGATCCACTCAGCAAATCCCAAATTCTGCTGCTCATTGTATGCTAACTGTAAGCTGTCTTAAGGGTTACTCAATGATTGAAAGGAGAGATGTAATTTCAAAATGGCTACCTCCATATTGAAAAACATTCACACCTTCAAGTGATAATTAGAGCTACATTTACAAAACCTAGGTTAGATGATCTAAATAATATTAACCTTGTATTAATATATTAATATATTAACCTGTAGAGCTGCTTTAAATGTTTTGCTGCCAAAGCTTAATTTATTGCTTAACTAGTCATTATTTCCATTTTAAAATAATGACATCTCTTCAATGCATGCACCAATATTAAACTACAATTTAGTAACTAAATTGCTTCAGAGTTCTAATGAACCAATTTCTGGAAATCTAGCCGGGTGTGAAATTAAAGCAATATTACTTTAATTGTAAATGAGTAGTAAAGGACTCATTAATCGGCTTAGTCAAACCTATAGGTGTAAAACACACAAGTATTAGATGCTGAAACACTTATCATTTTAGCTAGAACCTGCCTACATTTTGTCCTATGCCACAGAGACAACACTATAAAATCTCCTTTCCTCCTGAGAAAAAACAGGGCAATGATGGTTAACCTCGGCTCCAGATGTTTGAAACACTACATTTCCCAAATTGCATAGCCAAAAAAGTGTTCATGCAAAGTAGGTCTTGAAGTCAACAGGAAACACTTATTAACAGGACAACCTAAACATATTATTATTATTATTATTTTATTATTTATATAGCGCCATCGCATTCCGTAGCGCTGTACATTGGGTACATATACACATGTTAGATTCGCTGTGTAGAATAGGTTATCTTTAGTTATGCTGGGTGTTTAAAACATTTTTTTTTAAATCTTCTTTACTTTGATAATTTTTTTTTGATAAAGTATTTTGTTTTGCAAGGCCACCGTTTCTGACCCTTCCAACTAACCTGCAGTATTTACCTGCTCCATCAGTTATGGCTTTCTGCGTGCTGTCTGCACTAAGACTGCACAGCAAAGGTTTCTTAGAATTGTAGTTCGGTTGTTATTTTTCTACGATAGATTTAGGTTATCAAATACACTGCATAGCAGTGATTTTGACAGGTGAGGAAGCATTATGATTGGTCTAGTCACTTCTTGGTCTTGGTTGAACTCACTGCAGTTGCTGGGGCATCCAAGTAAGTACATGAAATTGTTTTTTTTATTTTTGTTTAGTTAGGCTTTTTTAACTTTAAATGTCATTTTAGGTTATAGTTTTTTTTTTCCATATCTTTCTTTAATGGATTGTCCAGATATTAATGTAAGGAGGAGTTAACCACAGTCTGGAGTAGATTATTTATATGACTCTCGAGTGCATAATTTTGTTATTCTTAGATCTCCGTACATTCATACATATATATATGAACACTTACCTTGTGGGCTGACGCCATGCACTGTCCTGTCACAGCCACATTTATCCAGGTCTCCACTGCTGCATGCTCTCGTCACTGCAAAGGCAACGCCGGCAGAGGATATGGCATACACAAAAGCCGCTTCTCTGGTTCCTGCAACATCAAGAACAAGCAGATCATTAGAACTTTAGGATTTTGAAACTGTGTTTAATTGTACAGATTTACAATGGTTCTATTTAATGACAAGTAACTAACAGACAAAATAATGTTGACAGACAGAAGAGGTAAATAGTGTCTTGCTCAATATTAGCCTACAATCTGGGATTTTAATGCCGGTATTGTAATGGCAATGGGTCAAAGTAACAGAGAGATACATACAAACAACTAAAGACAATACTGAGGGATCAGGATGGTCTGGCCAAACATTTCCCTCATTGGATGTAGCTTATAAAGAGCTCAAAGTGGCTCTTTGGTAGTCCGATGCATTAATGTATATGGAGATGTTTGGAGGGCAAACACAAATGTGTGTAGATAGTTCTACTCACACTGCATGAAATATATGGCTTTGACAGATGGAGGCTGCTGGAGTTGTGAGGTGTGACACTAAATATCTCAGCAACTTTCATTGGTATGTCCTGCGAAGCACAAGGGAGCATTCACAGAGATATGTGCTTGCTGGAGAGAAGCAGACTGTTTCCTGAACTCTGTTGCCAACACTGACTCACTATGTGTTGATGAGCGTGGCACTCCACAGCCACTTGCATACACCTCTGCACCATAACCATTCATACTCTAGCAGTCCAGCAGCCTGTTCAGCCTGAGATAATGCGGTCACATGGGAAATATCCCTGTGGGCCAGTCCAGGCAGAGAGCACAAAGAGAGCATGCTGCCACGAAAAGTGCTGGACTACCAAAAGTCTTGTACAATTCCTTCCTGCTCCTTTGCTCCTGACATGCTCCATCACACCTTCTGCAAATGGTGCAGAAGACAACTCATCTATGCTAGTGTCTGTGGGGAGCAATTACCCCCTACACATTTTACCAGCCCTCCATCGTTTATCAGCCCTCCACCGTTTATATATTATAATTGTAACCAATATGTTCCTACCCAACGGCATGTGGATTTTAACTACCACTGGCCCATACTATGAATAAGTTCTTCAAACACACTGTTTGCTCTACATATAAGAAGAACTTATTTGCAGAACAGTGTGTTTTAGTGTCTGAATAAGTGCGTCTTACATTTCTATTCCCCATGCTAATTTGTTTTCCTGGGTTATTTGGTTCAGAGATAATGAGTGTGGTGTAGACGATAAATATATGGTGGGAGATTTATGTTCATAAAAGTTGCAAACTTGCAGGAGAAAAAAATCAATCAATACTAACCCAAATCTTATTTGTAATAACACTGAATAAATTTTATGACCTAAAAACATGCATGGTACACCAAGATCTGTATCATGCATACATAACCTAACCACATCAGCAAACAAAACTCCCGCTTTAGTACATCTGGGGCGATGGAATGATATATTGATTTAAGATGCATCCTGAAGCTGTGTCTCACCTCTCAAAACCCTATGCAAAAATGGCTCGTCATCATAAGTGGGACGACCCCGGTGGTCGTAGCTACCTCTGGTGACTAGTCAACATAGAAAACAATCTGGCATAGTAAGAAGTGTCTGCCAAGGAACAGCCAAAGACTAAGCTATTGTGGACACTGAATGTGTTCCAAGTCAGCTGAGGTTAACTGCAGGCTCGTGTGGGTCGTCTTGCACTGTGGTTACCAAAAAAGAAAAGACTTATTTTATGGTACTGTTGGTATTTCCATTCCGGAATCCCAACTGCCACAAGTCTATCCCCTTTTTCATTTAACCCCCCAAAACAAGCAATGTCAAACAATGAGGCAAGGCAAAGCCTTAGACTTGCGTTTTGCAGTCGCAGAGATTCGCACTTTCTACTTTCTTACCACAAATTGTGTTGTGTTTTTGCCAGCATGGAAAATGAGGATGTGATAGGTCTGACCCACAATGACAAGTACTGTGTAAAGGGACTATTTATATCAACACATCCACTTGTAACCATGGCAGACTTTTGTGATTCTTCAAACATCAGGTCATTTTTTTAGATTTATATACATCACTGTTGAAAGATGAACTGATTGATTAGCTAAGGTACAAAAAAATGTATTGCTTTGAACTAGGCTGAATTTGTTTTCTATGCCTTTCTTAATGAACATTTAAAAAACATTTAATTTAATGAAATTATTCATTCTAGTTTCATGTGTGTTAGAACACACTGAATATTTTCACTTTTGTTTTTAGAAATAATTTCTGCCAAGTTAGTTAACCCCAAGTTCGTCAATTTTGAATAATGAAGTATACCATTAATAATGAGTGTCTGAGGTGGCAAAGTTACCTTTTTTAAACAGGCAAGTCATGCTTTTCTTTAAGGTACAAATGTCTTGATTGATTATTTCCCAAAATTCTACCTCACCCCCAAAACAGTCCAATCTTTTATTTTTTTTTTATGTGGGCTGAAACAACAATGCATACAGTGCAGTCTGCATACAACTGTAACCTATACAATAATTTTCATGATAATCGTCAACATTAGGGAATGTAACTATATCTGGTTAGAACTTTCAGCATAGGTAGCATTCTCAGTACTGAACACAATGTACAAGCTATTTTGCTAGCCTGTATTTCATCTTAGAGGAAAGGTGAGTTACCTTATTAGTTGAAACAGAAAGAATAGAAAAGCAATAGAACAATAGAAGAAGAGGAAGAAGAAAGAGGTGTGAGTGCGCTGCCGTGAGTTTAAGGCCCCCGAAATAAACATCATCCTAGGCTCAAGAGCTTTCATGGTCCCTGAAAAGATTCCTATGGGAGCCATATTTTCTGAAAGCAGGGGAGGGCATGTCTTACTTGAGCAGCGAATATGTCCATTAGAAAATTATCTTTCATTTTAACCAAGATCAACACCATAGAAGGGATGTCAGTATGCAACTAGAATTATGCTAATGCTGTTCTAGAAGCTAGCAAAAAGTCCAGACTTCCAGGTTACAGCAGAATTAGGAACTTCCTAAACTCTAAATCATTGGGAATGAATGAGAACTGGTTTGGAAATAGCAAGCCTAGAACATTGTTTTTGGTGGCTCACAAGATAAATGGGCGCAGGGTACACATATTGGTATATTTACATTAATGACCTGTTTGTCCCCCGTCTTTGCCCCAGCCATAACTCAAACTTCCTTTTTGAGACGTGACTGTGTATTTATACATTGAATTTTCCCTAGCTGTGTTGAAAGTATACACCAAGCCTTACTGCAGTTTTCTAATAAAAAATGCAAAAAAAGTTTTGGGTAAGGAATTTACAAAAACGCTAACGTGATCTTTAAAAATACGCTTTATCAGTCATAGCACAGTATAAATTTAACGACAAACACATAAAATGGCTATTACCCATACATAAACCTAATAATAATAGCAAATAAACTAATCTGGATCAGTAAAAGAGATAATTAATTAATTGGCTACCTATTTGAACAATATTTTTATTTTTAAACATATTGCTAAAATTCTTACCTCTTGTCACTATTCAAATACCAGAGGTTCAGTAAATTAATGGTTATGCACAATGTTGTCATTGAGTCATGCATAAATAAGCTCTTAACACATCCCATAAGGAATGATGTCATGGATTGGGGAGGAGCCAGTCACCCTATCGTAATTCTCTTATAAGCACCATATGACAGTACTATAGGGATAATGAAGAGCAAGTCCAATATCAAATTCTAATTCTTTTCTCTACAAATTTTTCTTTTTGTTGACTCATCTAAACTTTAAAGGGATCCTATAGTGTCAGAAAAACAAAGCTGTTTTCCTGGCACTATATGTTCAATAGGTCCCTCCCTCCCTCACACCCTTATTCAATGCTTGCCTATGGGAAAAATCTGATGCTGGAGGTCCTCATGCAGAGCACGATGACGTCCAGCATCAGATAACGGACCAAACGTCCAAGGGCAGACTTAGCGATGCAATGTTTTACATTGCAGCACTAAGTGCAATATGGACACAGCACCCATGCAACTTCAATTAGCTGAAGTAGTCTGGGTGCCTACAGTGTCCCTTTAACATTCATTTGTAATTAGCTTCTTTATAGAATATGGATCTGAATAATTGTATAAACTAAAGGGATGCATAAATGCAAGTAGCAAGTACCAGTTGAGCGTTCCCCAAGTCTCTGCAGCTCATTATTTGCCTATTACTCCTTGTCTACTGTAAAAGCTAAAGGGACCCCCAGGGTGGATTTTGCCACCGATATTTAACGGATTTTTTTTTTAGCACATATACATAACATATATAATTATACTGCAGATTTGCAGCATCTCCAGCCTGATATCTATGTCTGAATCTAAGAAGAACGTGTCTATCTTGATCCTCCCATTGCTTTGTATGTTCATTATGGAATTTTCAAGCAGTGCTTCTAAACTACAATGAATGTTCGCTGGTTGCACAAAAGTAGAGCTTGTATTCACTGCATAGAAATTATTGCATACCTCCCAGGTGTCCCTAATTAGGAAGGACAGTCCCTATTTTGACCTGAAGCCTTCTGCCCCCCTTTTCTATCATAATGTCTCTTTCTTCTAGGAGCTCCATATTGCTGGTGCATCTGAGTGTATTACCAAGCTCCACAGTAATAATACTAATACTAATGTGTCTTTAAACTATAATAAATTTGATGCATTGTTCTCTAAATTATGGTTTACTTACATAAATTATTAATAAATTACCTAAAATTTCTCAGAATAGCCCAGCTACACTCCCTTTCACACCTCTAAAACTAAAGTGTCCCTCTTTGTCCTTTTGTAATGTTAGGAGGTTTTAGGACACGCAGTATATTTGTAGGACAGTCCTCTATGACTCCATTTAATTTGTTGTTGGATTACATTTCTCATAATCCTCTGTCAGTACACTTTCTGGTTTCCTCTTATGCAGACAGGAAAAAATGGGTCAGTGGGGGTGGGATCATGATTATAGGGGATGTTCTACTTCTCCCGCACCAGGGGAAAAGCGGTTGTATATGGAGCCCAAAGACATGTAAACAGGGCTTCGATCTATCCTGCTTTTGTATGGAAATTCAAACGTTTATGAATTACCTTGTTACACCCCCCTGGCTGTCAAACAGACAAACGGTCCTGTTGCTTCCTGGTTTGGTTAGCTCAGTGGAGCTAAACTCAAGAGGCAGCAATTGCCCAGAGAGCCTGCATTACAAAGACTTCTCATCAAACTGCACTGGGAAATCTATGATTGGACAGCTATGGAAAGAATTGGATAGCGTGCAAAGGCTGCAGACTGCAGTAAAGAGATCTGCAACTTTTTAGAGCTGTTTTTATTTAAACCCCCAATGAAAAAGTGCCTAAATATAAATACATGTATATTTTTATTGTGGGCATATCTAGTATGTAGTGATTTTTTATTTTTTATTTTTATTTCAGCAGTGTCTTCAGAGCCAATCCTGGGTGGGTGCAAACCGCCCAGGTGCTCTGCAGATGGGCTAGGTGTGCATTGCTAGGCACTGCCCTTTGTTTTAGGTCTCTCCTGTCTAGTTAGACTCTGCCCTCCTTGAGATTGGGACCGGATGGCATAGCTGGAAGAAAAAAGATAAAAGATGACAAGCTAACTTTGCATTTGGTCCTCAAACAGCTTGTCAGCTTGTAACTTTTGTCTTCCAGCACTGCCTCCTGGCACCTATTGCAAAGGAGTGGGGCCTAATAAGAGGGGCGGGACCTAAATTGAGGGTACAGAGCCTAGTCTCGCCCGTCGATCTACACAGCACTTGGACAGTTTCCACCACCCAGGATCAACTCTGAGTTGTGTCCCTTTAATTTCACCAAAGGCACAGCCATGGCATTTAATGCAAATCAACCTACATTTCACATGATCCCTATTCCAATTTCCAGCAAATCCTCCGACTGGCATGCTTAATTATGTCAGGCCTAGTTCACTGGATATCTAGCATTTCAACACATGCATATACCACTTGCACCAGGCTGCCACACTCACATTATAGCCCCAGGTAATGTGTTAGGCTGCCCCATCCCCCCCTTTCTCTTTGCCAGCACACTCCCTGATCGAAGTGTTTAAATCAGGGATCTCAAACTCTGGCTCCATAAATGTCGACGGCCTAGATCTCACAGAATTCTTCGGATACAATAATGCAATAGATGGTCAGAGAATCAGGAGTTGTAGTCCAGAACTTTTGGTGGGGCAGATTTTGAGATGCCTGCTCTACATGGCGGGAAGAAGGTGAATAAATTCTTTAATTTAGTCTCCATTAAGGTGGTCTGATTCCTGACATAACTTTTAGGAACCAGTGCCATCCCTGGAAAATATGCAGGTTTAAATAAAGGGAAGGAAAAACTGAAAATAAATAGTGTTCTTATAGCATATAAAAGTTGGTTTTATTAGCACTTAAGCAGGCAAAATTATGTACAGCAATAGTAGTTACTGTGATTACCACAGTGTTAAACATCAGTTAAGGAACTATGGCAGTTGCTCTTTAAATGTGTCAAACAATGACGTACTGTTCTAAAGCCAATAGGAAATAGCCATTTCACCATAAATTGCTTTTTATCCCACTGATTCCTTCACACAACCACTGTAAAAACAATCAACAGTAGAGTAGAGTGAGTCAGCAAAACCAAACGGAAACATAAGGACATATTTACCAAGGGATATTTAATGTCCAACAAGTATGCTGGCCTGAGGTTTCATGTCTCACTGTTAAAGTGGTACATCTGTTCTGTTACTCCACTGTAACACTGTAACATGGGATCAGTGCAAATCGCAAAGCTTGCAAGGCATGCAGCAGGATGTCCCGTCCAGGGAGTCTCAAGTCTACTTTATAAGCAGTGTTCTGCATTTTGAGATATTGTAAATAAAGGATAAATCGTGGAATCGGGTTTCACGCTTGTAACTAATGCATACACTGTAAGTAAATATTTATGGAACATGACTATTATAAAAATGCAAGCTCTTTGCATGTGTCAAGATAAATCGGGTGATATGTACATATATACTGTTCTTTACTCGTCTCAGACAGTATAAAACATTATAGTTAGTTTCTAAAGACACCTCTACTGGCTGTCAGACAGAGTGCTCCTATAGGCTACTTCATCCTTAAGACCATTTTTGAAGGTTTTTAAGTCCTAAGACTTGTCCACATGCATAGACAATATATTAAAAAATCAATGCAGAAAATAATTTGAATACATATAAATGTAAATAAATAAAAAGGATTTGCATCACCGCCTCTGGTCCACAGTAAGGTGTCCGAAGTGGTGCACAAAGTAGCTGAACGATATAGTCAGTGAGTGTTCTCTATATTTGTTAGGGTGGGAGAAACATCAGGATGCACATGACATAATTCACGTTTGTTTAGCAGCTAGATTGTGATGTCTGGTTGTCAACTGTTTAGCAAACAAACACTTTAGAGTTTATTCATTTAAAATTATAAATGTTAGAAAAACTAATCTAGGCATATTTTCCTTTGTAATATTTTTATAGGCCACATCCCGGGCAGAGTAGACTTCATGTTGCCATGTTTGCTTGAAGAAATACTTTAACATTTGAAATTTACATATATTTTTTTTGGAGCACCTACTCCATACACAGTGAGATCTTCAGGGTCGATCATCTCTGGTCCAATAAGATGCTTCTCATAGAGAAGCATCGTTGATCTAAGGTTGATGCACGGCAATATCTGCACTCTAGATAAAGAAAACACTTTACCAGTGACCACAAAAACACCATTCTAAAGCAGAGTACACAAATCATGTTTATGTTTCTTTGACTGTGCAGCATACTGCTCCTATCATAACTAAAATCGAAATAGCCATTCCTGTCTACTAACTGCCCAAAACAGGCTATTTTAGGGAACGTGTCTGCGCAGATCCAGGTGCTCATACAAGCTGTTTACATGGTTCTTTCTCAAACATTTGTTTGAATAATCATACATTAGTTTATCTCACATAATTCTTCAAGGAAAACCCAAGAACCCAAGTGAATCCTAATTGAATACAAGTGAGTCCATCTGTGGTGTGTTATTACAACCATAGCCAATTTACTTAACTTCTTAATGTGCCTCTAACGGTTTGGATAAACGATGTTGACCAACTTTTTACAGTAACACTTTAAGAAACAATAGTTATTTATTTATTTGGTTGACTGATTTCCTTAAAGGAACACTATAGCGTAAGGTATACAAACCTGTATTCCTAACGCCACAGTAACAATTTCTTTATTTATACAAAGTTCCCCTAATTTATTCCAATAAAACTGATTAATACAAGGGGTTTGCTCATGTTCCAAGCCAATCCAAGCATTGGGGACCTGATGCGCATTCGTTGCCAGTGCCACACACATCCAATGCATCTCACAGGTAAGCATTGAATCCAATGCTTTCTTATGAGCTGCAACATCACATGACCGAGTTTTACCTGGTCGTCAGTGCAGTGGAAGTGTGTGTAGTAGCTCTCAGTATGACAACCACTAGAGGAATGTTTAACCCTTCAAGATAAACCCTTGTCGTAAAGACTTAAACATGCCTCTGGTGGCTGTCTGCAAAACAGCAGTGTGTTACCTCGAAGGTTTAAACAAGCAGGAGCCACTGCACCTAGCCCACATCATTGAGGTGACTTTAGTGGACCTTTAATCACCCACCTACAGTTCCCCGTGGTTCAACTAACATATCAATGGCACAGCTTAATGCTATATTATATATAACAATACGTTATGTGAACTACTATCCTGAAATTCACACAAGTCTTTATTGCTCGCTCACTCATAGAAAATATATTAACTGTAAAAAAAATAGCATATTTAAAAACTAAATAAAAGGAATTTAGGTAGCTTAGCAAGTCATTGTATTTCCCTGCAGTGTACTTGAAATTGTGCTTATACGAATCCAAATACAATTCCTAAGTAAACAGAATCCACGTAAAACATAAATTAATTTAACCAAAAAAGTTAACAGCTGCATTAATCAACCTAAATATTTACTGGGTTAGAGCTTGCTCCAGAACACAAGTGTTGAAATTGGAATGTATTATGGAACCTAATAAGAAGCTTGTGTGTGGGATGAATTCAGATCTGTAAAAACATCCTTCACTATGCTGTTGTAGGAATTATTCCTAAAATCTTTTTTTCCACCTTTAAAAATATTGTTAGAGAACACTTCTAATGTCAAACTCCAACACTCTCTATTTAAAAAGCACAGTGGATATATAAAGTTTGTATCACATAAATTTACCCTGGAAGATGCAGGTATATCTGGGAAATTGTGATGGCAATTGTCCTTGAGGGCTTGTCTTGCTCTCTCATAACATAATAGTAAAGGCAAATTTAAGGTAAGATAAATGCTTTATGAGTTTCCTAAAAAAAACTTGAGGTTCGCAGGATTAGATCTGTGATGGTTCGTACAAAGCTTTGGCTTGATTATGTCTAGCTAATGCTCATAACACAATGGGTAATTTCAGAACAAGCTTTCTTCTAGCAGAATGCTAGGATTTCTCAAAGTGAAGTCCAACAGGAGAATGAACACTCTACTTATAGAATGTTCCTTCCTAATTTCCAGTCCATGGGTAAGTATGCAGGTTCTACTCGTAGAATGTTGAGGTTCGATAATACATTCAATGAGGAGAATGAAAATTTTCCCATTACATACACTGAACTTTGTCAGCCCAAATCCATGAGACAATTCAATGCTCACTTCTGGTGGAATGTTGTGCTTTCTCAATGCAAGTCAGTGATACGAAAAAACTCTCTCCTGGTAGAATGTGCTACTCTCTCATTGCTAGTCCACAAGGAGAATGACTATTTTGTAGGTGAAATTTACTTTGTCAATTCAAGAAGGAGAACGTACATTGACCTGTTGGACTGTTATGCTTCCTCAATGCAAGTCCACAAGGAAAATGACCATTTTCAGGTAAAACCTTGCACTTTCTTACGTATGTCTATGATTAAAACAAACATTCTACTGGTGGAATGCTATACTCTTTCAATACAAGTTCATAAGGAGAATGAACATTCTATTGTGAGAAAGTTTAGTTTTCTCTCCCATGAGGAGAAACTCCATTCTTGTGTTTGGTTGTTGTACTTTTTCACAGCAACTTCATTGTTATTTCTTCTAAAATCACAAATATATTCTGCAGTGCATTAGATGAGTTTATAATATGATCTGTCCTGCAGAATAATTAACTTCTTTCTACAACAACCTACCCAACAGAATATAATTAGCTGTGAAAATTTGAGACCGAGATTGAGAGACTTCACTGGTTTTTTTTAGAGAGCTAAATAAAATTAATTTAAATAAATGTAATCTAGATATACTGTGCACAAATACCATTGATTTCTATGGGTAAAAGCTTAACATGCTAGTGCTAACACCTCTGCTATAGGAGTAGCAATGGTGGGAGAAAAAAAGAATATGCAGACTGTTGTGCAATACTTTTTCCGAAATTACCTAAATCAGGGTTATTGTTGGAGATTCAAAGTTTGTTCAAGTGAAATTGCCAATTTTAGGGCACAAAAGCCAGGTAGGAATTTCTTAAAGTAAGCTATACGTTCTGTATTCCTGGCACTATAGCACCCTCTGCCTCCCCCATCCTTTGCGCCCTCCACAGTGGTAAATAAAGGGTTAAAAACCCTTTACTTACTTACTACGCCTCCTTTAACGCCCCTCGACAAGCGGGTGCTAATGCGCATAGGTCTAAAACTATATTTGTTTCATTTAAGACAAATAACTCAACAAACCTAAAATCAATCTAAATAAATATTTAGATTCACATTACTAATTTGATATTCATGGCTGAATAATGTTCCTTTAATTGCGTTTTTTATTTTCTAGTGCTAATCTTAGTAATGATCCATAGTTCAACTGCTCAACAGGCAATGACCTTGTGTCTACAAATAAAATACTTGATCATTTCAATGTGAAAGAAGAAACTGCGATTTTGACTGGATTCCCTAAGGTCTACCTATCATGAAGTACAATATTTACAATATTGACCCTTAGCCAATAAGAGCATAACGCTAAATAGCTCACATTTTAAAATTTTATTATCGGGTCGGCAGTCCGGTTTCCATGTCATAATTCACAGGAGCATTTTGATAAATTGGAAAAAGACACTTTACTTAGAAATCCCATATACTACGTTAGAGGAAAAGTGTTTGACATTGGTTGTAATAATAATATAACATTTACTTTTACAACCAAAGACAAATGTTTGTGTTTGGCTTTCAAAGGCTGTCATTTAAAAAAGGAACGAAAAACGCCAACGATAAAACAGACACAGCAGAGGCTTTCCAATCGTCAACAACACATATTAAAATAATTATAGCTGCTAGCAAACTGTGTTTTGTTTCCATTTCATAGATGTACGCAGATCCTTTCATTTTGCACATATATCATACCGTTAAATACATGTAAGGGCGGTTTGGTGGTGGAGGGGGGGATTAAATCTGCTAGTTCAGCTGCAACAAATTGAAGGCATTGTAGGATTCCTTTAGATACCATTTAACATAAATTTGGGATGTTCACTGTATTATTACTTTTATTAGTTACAATATTTTTGAATAAAACATCATTAAGTTGACATATGGTAAATATTGCATTAAATATTATTATTATTATTATGATATTTATGGAGCGCCGTCAAATTCCGCAGCGCTTTACAATGGGTGGACGAACAGACAGGTAGTTGTAACCAGACAAGTTGGACACACAGGAACAGAGGGGTTGAGGGCCCTGCTCAATGAGCTTACATGCTAGAGGGAGTGGGGTAAAATGACACAAAAAGGTAAGGATAGTATTAGACTAAAATATAAATATAGCATACATTGTACATAGATTCTTACTAAAAGGATTGGGGGTCCTACTGTTGTGAGTTTACAATCTACACTAAATAGCTTCTATACTACAGACATTAAAGTGGGTCTGTTATATTTTATTGTAGCATAATAATATTCTAAAATATCCCAATTTAACTTTACCTTTTGTGTGTAAATGTATGGACTTTTTATATTATGGCATACTACCCAACATTTCAGGAATACTTTCATATAAGGGGTGTGAGTGTGTATGTGGCCAGGAGCATGGCAGTTCTGAGAAAATTTAAGTGACTAAACTAAAATGTAATTTAGAACAAGAACAATGTATCTTATTTACACAGACTGATTTCTAAACACATTTATTTTAGTTTAAAGACTCATTGCTGTGAGTATCATTGCTGTGGAACTCTGTTATACACTCAGACACACCAACAATATGGAGCTCCTACAAAATAGGGAAATTAGGTTATAAAAGAGGGACAGAGTTATTTGCACCCAAAACAGAGACTGTGCCTCCTAAATAGGGACACTTTGGAGGTCTGTCATTTTCTACATATACTGATTGCAATATCAAAATATTAAGAGGCTACCACTACTATGTAACTAGATTAGTAGCCAATACTTCAGTAGCACATGGCAACGTGTGAGAAAACTGAAGGCTTACATTAACTTTCAAATAACACAGGAAAGGGCAAAGGAATGTGTGATTTTGGTGTCCATCTCGGTAAGAGTGGTAAAATTGTGGATGTAAGAGTGGGGAGGTATAGAGGAATAAATGTTTTGTAAGAGTAAATATGATGAGAGAAAAGCTGTGTATAAAATGTATAAAATAGGAGGATTAAGGATAATTTATATTTGAGAAAGAAGAAACAGAAATGTAATTGGCATTGACAAGATTTCAGAACAGAGAAACAGGGAAATGGATTAAGAGTCCGGGGGTGATTTGGATTGGGCAGTGTATAGGGAGACTGTAAAGGGACTTTTGCCTGGCGGGAGACAAAAAGAATGCAGAGGTAAAGAACTGTTGTCAATCTGGCCCTGTTTCTCCTTGAATTAGATATTGATCATGATCCACCCAGGTCATGAGGGAAATATCACTCAATATATTGGATCTTAAGACTTGTCTACTGGATTTATGCTGCCAGATCCAGGGAAAATGATGTTCCCCCAATGGGTAAATCAGGAGGACAGTTTCAAACAACAGGATATTCTGCTCGCATAGGATAATACATATTTATAGCTCCCACAGGGTATAAATCATTACCAGAAAAACGTTAGTAAACAAAAGCATTTAAAGTTTAATTCCCACATTGGACCTTTACCAAGATATAACTGATGGATGCTCAGATGAATGATGTCACTTCCTATCCAGCAATGTGTTACAGAACACCTCTCCACTGAAATGACCCTACGGAGAACTTTGCACAGATGTAATGGCGAGTAACAGACTTCACAGTAGGAAACTTGGAGGTTACCTAGAGAAGCATATTTATTTATTGAGGTTCCAAAGCACACAAGGAGGAGTTATGATTATATTGACCATTCCGAGTTCTGCAACAGCCATGTTTTCACCTATAACATCAAATATTAGCTTTTATGTGTCTGAATGTCCATAGAGACACCTTGATATTGACTTATTTTACAAATAACTACATTTGTGTATTCAACATTCATATCTCAAAAATGGCCTGATATTTGGTAAAAACGTACATATTTTTTAACACAGTAATTAATATCATAAACCAGTGGTGCCCAAAAGGTAGATCCCCAGCTTTTGTAAAACTACAACTCCCACAATGCTTTGTATTCCTTTAGAATAACAAAACATCGTAGAAGTTGTAATTGTAAAACATTTGGGGATCCACCTTTTAGCCCCCTTGTCATAAACGATTTACAAAGGAAGTGTATGTCTAGTTTTTGTCATGGTTTACAACTATGTCTTGGTCTTTAGATCATATTATTAATTAACTAACTTAGTGACATTATTTTCATCAGCATCACAAGATTAAGTGGCTGAGCATACGCTGAGGATTTCCCAATTACTAGAAGTATAAAAGGTGGTGCACTAACCACTGACTTATCTCTCTAGCAAGTAGTTTATTGATTTAATTCTGATATTGTATTTTATCACTTCAAAACAGGAAAAAAATGGAATAGACTTGTTTGCAATGTGAAGTTTTTTGACTTCTTTCCTACCTTGTGTCACCACTTTTCCAAATACTGGAAGCGTGTCCAGTGTTGAGCAGTTCCACCGTCGATTCCTAAATTGATACTGGCATTCGTCTATCGCCAGCTGAGCCCCTCGACGTACCGAGTCCATTACCTCAAGGTTTCTCTTGCACATTTGAACCTGGCGCTGAATTAATCCTTTGAGTTTTTCACAGGTTTCTTCCTCTGAAATGCTGCCCACAGAAGACAACTTTGCCAGGTACCTATATAATATAAACAAAGCATAGGTTAAAAAAAGTCACCGCCTTGTAAACAGCAGTAGAACAACCTCACATTCTCAATATTTTGCTGATTTAATGTAGGATTTAATGTAGAGTGGCTGCATAAGTGCCACCTGCACCAAATGTCACGGAAAACACATGAGTAAGATCAGTTGCCAGTACTGCACTGTATCGGTTAACTGAAAACCTCAGTTTTCACTCTGTGAAACAATGCTGCATGTTCAGCATCCTCAAAAATGCCTTAGGAAAGCATTGACTCAATGCTTACGCCTGCTGCGCTCGTTGTGCAAGTGCACTAGGTTTCTGAATCACTGTGATGTCGGCGGAGGAGGAGCCCAACCTGGGGGTGCAAGAGAGGGGGTGGCAGAGGGCACTATATGGTTAGGAATCCAGTTTTGGATTCCTTTAATACTCCAAGATCTGCATCATCCCTGGCCAATTAGGTTACCAGACGATGATTAATACGTGGGTTACCTGAGTGGGTATTTGTACTTGGGGTCTCCAGCCTAGACCAAAAGTAGCAATCCCTCCCCCCGCTTAAGAGGTTTATATTATTTATAATTGACTTTAATATCTATTAAACATTTTTAAAAATCTGCTTTTTAATTTTAAAAAATGCATTATTTACAGATAACTTCATTTCTAATTTTTCGGAATGAAATTAATTGCCTGATCTGCCTCAGGCTGTACAACTGTAAAAAAAAAAAAAAAAAAGAAAGTTAACAACTGAACTATGGATCCCAAAAAGCCCCTAGGGGCTTAGCTAATTTGCATATCACTCAAACAGAAAGGTAAGTACAGCACCGGGATTGGCTGAGAAGTTTGTAGCATTGGTCAGGTTAAAGCTCACTGACAAAGCTTCAAGTTCTATATATGAAGTTCAAAAATATATATTTTTATAGTTTATCAAGTATTATTTTCTTACAAAATGAATTAAAAGTGTGGTTCAACTCCACTCCAGAACGTTTCTTTAACCTAAAACCCAGTAACTGTTGCACTAGTAATTAAATCTCCCTACTGCTCAAGGGTGAGCAATTGCCCAAACTGCATTATCAAAACACAGAAATTTCACTATATTTAATCTTTTTTTCTGTCACCAAGACACTGTTTTTTAAGTACTTGGCAGTTTAATGATTATAACTACCAATCTGGCAAAACAGAAATAAAATAGCTTGTTTTATATATTACCAGTGAACATAATAATAATAATAATAAAATAAATGGGACATATATTAAAGGGAAACTGTAATCTACAAAAGTGTGGTTTGCGATGTCTAATCTAATAGCTGTGCAAGTAAAAGTGACAGTAAATGTACAGTCTAAATGGAATCCTTAAAGGAACACTATAGTCACAGTGTTAGGAAAACAAATGTGTATTCCTAACCCTATTGTGCCCTAGTCTCTGTTTTGGTAATAGTCCGTGCCTGGGTTAAAAAGGTGATTTACTTACCTTTCAGCCCTTGCCACACCGGTCTTCTGCATGAAGCTCTACCTCTTTGGCTGAGATCATCAATGTTGAGAGAAGTCAAGTGCACATGCGCGGTACACAGAGTTTTACTCTGTTATTTCATGGAAGCGTCTCTAGTCAGTAACTCGGCAAAGAAAACATGCAGAATGGCAATGTTTTCAGCCTTTGTGAGATGAAGTGGTCTGGGTGCCTATAGTGTTCCTTTAAAATGTGTTCATCCCGTTTGAGGTCAGGAGACTGGGCATGCACTGGGTTCTTTTGGCTCCTTTTAATAATAGAATTCAAGGGACTGGGCATCTACCGGACTCTTACCAAGTCATACAGTTTATAGGGCCAAAAAGACTGGGAATATCCTTAGTCCTTTTTATATTACTTTACCCCTTGGTGGAGACAGTGGAGAGACCATTCGCTGGACCAAGAAGAATAAGTATCAGCTTTCAAATATAGAAAGCTAACAGCTGAATAGTACAGCGGTAGTTTTGGGTAAAAAAGGGAAATGCAGCAGTTTAGAAATGAAGGTCAGAATAGGTGGACTTTAGTTAACTCAACAAAATTAATAAAAATCAAAACAATGGCCATCTACTTTAACCAAAAATATAACTGGAAAAAAATTTGGATGGATGAAATAAGTCAGGATCCATCTGTATTTCCCTTTTGTTATATCAAAGGGACCCAATTTTGATATATTTTCACTACACTGTATATATTTAGAAACATCCTTAATACAAAGGGTTGTTTTTTTTCCCCAAGCTCGACAAAGAGAAAGTTTCTGTGTTCATAGAAAATCGACATAATTATTGGTGCAATACTTACAGAAACATATTTATAAAGATAGTCAGTCTGTGTTCTAGCAAAACATTTTGAAATAATTTTGCCGCAACGTGAAAGTGCTCTGTGGACTACTTAAGCAAATGAACAGGCACCAAGTATCTGGACAAAGCAGTACAATGACATTTAAGGCAGCAGGTTTAAAGGTGCTAATAGCCCCCTAAAAAGATAAAATAAACTATTTGGGTTCCAAATGTTATGCCAAAATAAGGGTCAATAGTTTAGAGTGAAAGTGGATGGGTATGTCAACCACGTTAAAATTTAAAATGTAGTATTTGGTAACGCCACCATATTTTAAGTGCTATATTGGCACATTCATAATGCCATTAACATTTTGCGTATCAGATAGGCGGGCACATAGAACTCACCCTAAACCCAAGACATCTATATAGAGAGATCTCCATACTAAACACAGACTTTATGACAATCATAAACAATGTTGATAACAGGATATGCTTGTTGTTTTTCCCAGACAAAAATTTAAAGGGATACCATGCAGTGTTAAGTATGGAGTTGCAGGTTTTAAATAATATGTTACCTGACTAGATGTTATGGCATTTCCCCTAAGGCCAAACAATAACCTGGGCACTTTGGCAAATCTGGTGGGTCATCGCTCGGTATGCTGGATACTCACTATGACCCTCCGTAAACTGATGCATAAACTGTGCAGTGGGGAGAGATTGTGGGCAATGTATATGGTGTTCTAATTTGGATCTGTATATAACACAAAATGTGCTGATTTAGACACACCTCCGATTGCAGAACATTCTCTTCTTCTATTAAGTGTTAACAATGTTGGCAATGTACGATGTTTTGCCAATACCTCTGTAAATGTCTTGCAACTGATTTGCTGAGACCACAGACGACATGATTGTTTCCGATTTATATGTACAGACTACATACAGCCTGCAAAAAATGCATATTTAAAGAAAACGCTGACTGGTCTTTATTGGGAATAGTACATATTTCAAGAAAAAAAACACACAGAGTCACTAAACCTGACTACCCAACTTTTCTTCTTTGTTGGATACACTTCCCTCCTGTAAATTTAATCTTGGCTGCTTGACAATACATCTGTCTCTATCCCAGTGATCAATCGTCTTCAAACTGACATATCTTGCAGGAAGTTCAGTCCGTGATACGCCCTCATGCTTACAACTCGGCAACTTTCTCTTCTATCTGGCTGATACTGAGGAGATGAGCATTCCGTACTTGGAATCTATCTTGTCAGAAATCCTGATTACTGCCATATCCAAGTACTACTAGGAGAAGCCAGAGGTCTTCGGAGCCAGCCAAAATAAGCAGAAAATAGTTACCTCTGCCAGCTTCCAGCTGCCACACTGTTCACTCGGCTTTTACATGGCTTCTGCACACTGACAAACACATTGTTCCAAACCACTTTCCTACATAATCCAGATTTTTTTTACCTATAAGATTGTCATTTATCTGCATGGGACTTTAAACTATTCCCTGGTGTACGTGTTCAGGGTTTTCAATGAAGTGAGAAGGATGGGTGCCTAAAAATTCTAAAAAATTAAATCAGCCGTTGGTTGTTTTTGAGAAATATTCCTCTTTTCTGGATCATATTATCGGAGCTAGGAATCATTACCTGTGTAGTTATTTATTTATGTAGTTAACATTAACCTCAGCTCTTTTTAAGCTTCCTTGTGTGTTATTTGTAGCAATGCAGTTTAATGGTCTATTGTACATATTAACTCTTTCATGTCACAGATTTGGGCAAATCCCATTATACCCTAACTATTCTAAAATGTCATTTTATCATAAAGAGGTTCAAAAATGTGATATTTTATGGGGAATAGGTAAGATATAACAATTTTTAAAAAATACTGTAGACCAGTGGTTCCCAAAAGAGGCCTCAAGGCACCCCTACCAGTCCAGGATTTAAGGATTACCCAGTTGTGTCTAAGGTGTTTTTTTTGTTTTTTTCTAAAAGCACCTTAGACATAACTGGGCAATCCCCAAATCCTGGACTGGTAGGGGTGCCTTGAGGACAGGTTTGGGAAGCACTGCTGTAGACATTTGGATGGAGCATACTGAACTCTTGTGTAACATTAAAGGATGCTAAGGGTAAAGGTACCACTAGGCCAAGTCCCAGAAATACTAGGTCATCTGCAACCCATATGTCCCTCTTATATCTGGTTAGTTAGAGGATGGCCAAAAGATCTGTATTCCAGTAGCACAGATCTGTCCCCCATGCTCTCACAGTGATGTGTTATAAAGACATCATCCCCAAGTGCCCTTTATCTCAGATAAGACAATAGAACATCTGTATGTAATTTACAATGGAACCTTTATTTTCGTAAATAGAACCCTAAATAAACACCCACTGATTTTCTATAGCATATCCTCATGAATTGTGTTTTCTGTGACATTGTTGGTCGGGAAAGTATAGTCATTGATTCATGAAGCCTATTGGACCCAGCACATCCTACTCACTTTGCCATTAACTGCATTGTACATACAATATTACAAGCACTCTTGAACAGACTTCCTATGGACTTCAGAGGGTGGTCTGTTGTTAAACTGAACTATGTAGACCAGTGGTTCCCAAATCAGTCCTCATGGCCCACCAGCAGTCCAGGATTTATGTATTTCTCTGTTTTATTCCAATGGAGATACTAATAAAACCTGGACTGTTGGTGGGTCTTGAGGACTGGTTTGGGAAACGCTGATATAGACTATTGATATTTAACATATGGCACTAAAGGTGTTGTGAGCTACTTTTACCAAAGCTTACACATCACCAGACTTAAATAAGGGTAAGATGTATGTCTGTTGCTCTCTAGCTAAAAACAAAATACAAATCCCATGATCCTCTGCAGGTCTCAAAACCTATGTAGAGACAATTCATGAGATAAACACACCCTAAAGTCTACACTGTATAAAGAATCATATTTTATTTTAGGAGAAGACAACTTCCTGGCTATATATTTTACTATAGTAAAATGAACAAGGTTATTATTTTTGTATACAAGGTTTTAGAACACAGTGTTGTCAATTTTATTTATTTTATATTCATCTTCAGTACACAAAGTTCCATATTGCATTCATTAATGGAAATGTATGTAATGTGCCAGTGTGACATTCTCTGAACTTTGATAAATAATCTCTATTGTTTAAAATATTTCATTATGACAAATTGAAATAAATAGAGCAAGCGAAGTGGGGACGTGCTGGGAAAATCCCTTCAACCTGAACAAGGTTTTGGCTTGAGCACACAAGACTTTAGTCCCAATGTTTGAGAACCAGATTTGTTCACTCGGCGGGAGTCTTAACGCTGTCCAATTACAAGAAGGTAGTACAGTCTTCCTGTGTTCAAGGCAATGTATTAATTACTTGTATGCTCTAAAAAAAGCCCATCTAAAGCTCTGATGAAGGCCATCACTGCTTTAAATACAAAGCTGTAGTATTAGTTGTATTGCTACGGGAAATTAATTAGATCAACTTTTTTTTACAGGGGGGGAGTATATTTATACATATCTGTGGGTAGGATTCCTCAACCACGAGCTATCCCCGATTCCATAGGATCCGCAACCAAGTCACATGGCTGACCATTGTGAATTATTTATCTGGTGTCTTACTCCTGGACAGCAAAAAACTTTCCTTGTCCATGTGGGAGGTTGAGGGACTGCCAGTTCACATATCAGCACTAGGGCAAATACATTTTATGATGACACGCAGGTCTGGTAATAGCCATACTTGGGACAGCAGGCAGGCGAGGGGTGGCACGGTCGGTGGGGAGATCAAAGATTGCCGGCCAGCCAATTCTCTAGCCATGGGGCCAAACTGATGTGGAGATCTGCTGCACGGCCGCGGTTTCAAGTGCAGATAAAATTTCATTGTATTAGAAACTCACTGCAAAGCCTGGACTCTGCACTGGCCAGAAGGATCTGTCTGCACCCACTGGGTGCAACATCTGCCACAGGTCCACCAGGGATCATCAGGTTCCCCCCTCCTTGGACCAAGGTAAGCATCAGGGAGGGAGAAATACACTTTAGATTTTTATTTTATTTTAATCTAACATTTTTTTTTAAGCAGCCCCTGTCCACCTTACAATATACATGTAAACTCGCCTTGGGGGAGCAAGGAGGGTAAATCCTGCCCTGATGACACACCTTGTGCAAGTCACCCTCTCTCCACAATTTGGACTACGGTATATTTGTAGATCATTATTTTCTTGACAGTAAGTTTAGTAAACTAAGGTGTATTTCTCTGGAAATTTGGGGCGTGCAAACTAATAACCTCAGGAAATACAACAATGAACATACTATATAAACTTGTGCTCTTAATAACTATCCTACTGACCTACCAACAGGACAAAATGTTATTATATCACTTCTTTATCACAAAGCGGGTATCGCTGGTCTTTTGTTTTCTGAAACACCTGAGCACAAGTAGGGAAGAGATCTCCTGAAATCCTGTCCTGTTTATTGTGCTGAATACAGTAAGTACGACCATATTTTTATTGTTGCCCTGGAAGGTCCTAACCAGCCTTTGTTACTAATGGAGTAGTGAACAATTAAGATACAGAACGCATGTTTATCTGGCGACCCATAAAGTGACTGCAGTTGCTGATACCAAGTTTTGAGATATCAGAACTAAGGTTCTTCCACCGGGCTATCAAAATGTTGTACTGCATTGAGAATTTCGGTCACGGGAATTTTTATTTTTAAGGCCTGATCTTTGCATACTGTAATTGTTCCTCTAGTATCATATAATATCCATTCTGAAGGAAATAATCACACATTTTTCCCTGTACAAATGTTTGACTGCTTAAAATGTTGAAAACTCTAGCTGTGCCTGGAACTCTTGTATCCACCATGTAAATGCAAGATTCTATATATTCCCATAACTCATTTTTCACTGAAGAGGCTGCACTATAAATTATGTGTTAAGCTGCTGAAATTCTTTCAGTCTCATTAGATCCCCCCAGCTAGCTGTGCTCACAGAGTACAACTTGCAGGAGCAATGAAGAACATAGCAGACCATATGATATTGAGTTCACCGAAGGGGTTTTAACATTTTAGACATGCCCACAAAAGATTTAAAGGCCTCAAATACTTAAACTTCCTTTCTGCAGCTAACCTGAAGTACTATTTATCTTCTGCATATATGTTTGAGATTCCCCTGCACTAACACTTGGGTTAAAGGCGTTTCCTGCTACCGACACCGGGTTATTGATTTACCACCTGCTAAGGCAGTCCAAAAAAGGATGTCCCAACCACCTTATATTATTGATCAAGTTACCCTCCTTCCAGACTCAGCCTAAGTCAGGAGATTCTTTGCCAGCTAAAACAAGATTATTAAGAGTAAGAATAAGTTGTAGCTAGCTGAGAAAGTGCAGGTCAATATAAAAGAGACAAAAAAATATCTGCTATTTTTCAGGCCTAAGTTGAACATAACGACCTTCAAACTTACAGTTTAGCTGATAAGTTATTCCCAGTTAATTTATAATTTATTGAACATTTTTATTTCAGTTTCCAAAATAAAAGTCTGGAATTTTCCTGAATTTAAACAACAAAACACCCGATAAACAACTATTAAAGGAACAGTAAACATTACTGGAGAATATTATACAAAATGGGGAATATTATACTATGTATTGGGTAAAATGCAGAAACCAAGCTTAAATCTTTCTACAACCCGCTGCTTCGAGTTACAGAATGTAATTATATCAAATATTTCCCTAGAGGAGATTTGAACAATGTCAGATTTCTTAGGAAAGGAAATGTCAGCAATCTTTTTATTATTATGCATACCTGGTGTACAGTTCAGAGAACTATAAAAAAAGAACTGTAAAAATATATATACTTTACAACATGAATACTTTAGTTATTTGAAGTGGTTATGGTGGTAGGAGTCAGTATGTCTACTGTTTTACTGCACATACATAGATGTTAGTAATTGTGTGCTGGGGGCTAGCCACCATGACTCTGGATTTATTTCCAAACTCAGAGCTTACTTCCAATGTGTCATGTACGCTGTTGCTATAAAAACAGTGGGTAGCTATTAGCGGTAACAAATTACCAAATTGTTTTGACCCCGTCCAGATATTGTGACCTACTGCTATTAACATCTGCTCTTACTGATACAATCCTTGCTTTAAGGAGGCTTATAAGCCATTCACATGCAGCATAGTAAATAACCCACTATACCAACCCCATGGCAACCTCTAAGGAACATCCTGTGTATGCGGTCCACAACTGCAGGAGGGAGGAGAAGAACAAGATTGGCAGAAGCAAAAGTGGGGGACCCAGAAGTGCACCACAGATATCGTGGCGTTATCTCCCAACTGTTCCCAATGACAGTCCAAGGAGTCAGAAGGACCATTGATACTGCAGCAACCTGCTGGGACACACTAATTAAAAATGTCTGTGAAAAAAGACATATGGTATGTACTACTACTGATAATAATAACAAAATATATAACCAGGAAAGGTACCTTCAGATTACTCTGGTTTTCAAGTATGTCCTGGTTATGCTACCTTAGCCCAACATCCAGGGATTTTTACTATTACCCAATTTAATGGTACTCATTTTATCTACCTCGGAAGGATGAAGGGCTGAGTCAACCCTGCCGGGATTTAAACCTGCGACCCTAATGAACTGTGATGCTTTACCAACTCCTGATGAAGAGAAGGCACAGAAATCCACAGAGTCCTGCTTGTCGTAACATTGGATACTGCCCGGAGACTACCCAATATGATGTCACATGAAAGCAGGTGGTGTCAGCATGTCAAAAATCTCTTGAGGATTTAGAAGGTAACTTTTTATATACAGTTTCCTAGCACCATGACCACTGCAATAGTTATGGTGCTTGGAGTCTCCATTTAAAATGTATAATAAAAAGATTACCATTAAAAAATTACCAAAAGTACTATTACATTTCTATAGGTTTTTCTTTTTCATGGGAGGAATGGTGTCAGACACCCAGCTGCCATAGGTAAATCCCAATTTGCCAGATACAAGAGAGACACTTTATAACATTTGTGACTTTAGATTTAAAAATATATTCCTTTACCAAACACGTACAGTGCACATTAAATACCGCTGGATTGTATCTTTTTATGCAGTATTTTAGTATGTTGTGGGCTCATGTAAAACCACAGAATGTTAGTGATTCATCGAAAATATTTTTAAATGATTTCAGCTTTAGACATGGCTGAGTGTTGGTGACCTGTCTTGATTAGCTAAAAGACCTCGGTGTTGTGTAATAGGTAATGTTGCCCTGTTCACTGTTCACATATTGTTCAGGCGTTGCGTAACTCTGACTTCTACGCGCATAACGATCCCATTAAGCACAACTTAAGAAGATGCATATCCTCTGTTGCTCTTGTAACTGACATACTTTAGTTTGCCACTCATTGATTTTGCCCTCAAGCTACAGCTCGATCTTTGCCCTGGAAACTAAGCCTAGAAACCTGATGTCAAATCATTACTCAAGGCAAATCTCTTCCTAAGGCAAAACATTTGGTCACCTTTGCAGGCTCTTCGTGTTAGAAGAAACTGCAAATGAATATAACTGAGGAAAATGTATTTTCATGTTTAAAAGGAAAATTCCAAGCACCATAACCACAACAGCTGAGCTGATTGCTCTCAGCCAATTAGCTAAGCCATGCACTGCTTAGGAACTTCCAGCTCTCTGGCTTTAGTAGTGGAGGCGGGGAGCAGCACCTGGTTCACCAAGGTAAGAAGTAAAACCATTCAAAAACAGTTTGACTTACAATGGGGGGAGCCAGCTCACTCGTGGCACACCATAACCACTGTTGCAGACTGTTGTGGTTATGGTACTTAGAGTGTTCATTTAAATTACAGTAACAATTCTGCTAATAATTTGTAAAAAAAAATAACATAAACCTCAAAAAAGTAGTGTATCATTCAACCCAAAAGTCCAGATTTTATTAATAGAGTGCATTACCATAAAGTGCACCAATTATGATAGATAGGATATCTCAATTTACGGTACATTCAGTCTTTTTTCTACTACTGAATCTCCAGCTTCCTCATACTGGGCTATTCTATTTCTAAGGTACACAATATAATGTAATCTACATATATTGTCAATGTGTAAAATGTCTAGCAGATATATATTGTGTATATATATATATATATGTATATATATATATATGGGAATAATTGACTAATCTTTTTCCATTAGATGTGGATCAGGTACTGGTTCTTTGGGACTGGTGGGGAAATTGCCAGATCTCCACATTAGAATGTTTCAGGGGTAATGACAAATCACGTTGATCCACATCTCCAATTTTCCACACAATTTTATCACCCTGCCTGGCACAAAAAAGTACTCTCAACTACAGGAACAGCACTGAGAGGTGCGGAGTATGGAAAAATTGGATTATACTAAGGGATGTGAGAAAACAAGGGAGCATTATATGACTAATCACACAGCTCGCAAAATGGTAAACAACGGGTAAGCAAGTCTAGCCACTCCATTCAATCATGGCACACATTTTTCATGAGTTTTTGGAGTGGCTCCTGTCCCCTTCTTGTTATTTTCCTTGTCTTACATGTCCCCTGATGCAGGAGATGCAGGAGGAATGGAGTGCTTGTGAAGTCAGCCATCAATTGGAATCTGTCAGTACAACTAATTAGATCCCAATGTTCCATTGGGCAGGGTTATGTCATAACGCTACATGTCCAACATACCCACACGGAGTCCATGTTAGATAAAAATCATTTGTTCGACCATAAGATTAAAAAAAAACCTGCTGACCAGTTTTAAAATGATAAATGGCAGGTATGGCAGTTTGTAAAGTGCTCTATGATGGTGCAACGAAAGTATCCGATGACAGAACCACTTTAAATTACTCTCTTGCCTGAACACAAAATATCACCCCCTCCCTCAGATGTAGGATATCATCTACACCCTTTCCATAAACTAAGTATGCTATGCGAGATGAGGTATTTTGAGTAATTACTTTCTTTTTTCCACCTGTCCATATAATTCAGCTATGTGTAGGAACCGGCTTCATGTTGATATGTAAACAATGATTCCCATCTCTGACACGGAACCTTGACGTTCTCACAAGAATTTTGTTGGTTACAGAGTAACAAACTGAACCAGTTTATTTCTTGCATGGTTGCTCAATTTGGGAAGGCCACCTGGTGTGCTTTATGTAGTGCCTGGGTGGTATAATGCGTTCTCCATTTTTTTCTAATAATAAATGTGATGTTGCTTAAAGGGATAATTAGCTACGTACATATTTTGTTTCATTCTGCCACCTTATTCATGATTTATATTGCAAGTTCACATGCTAACTTGAGTGCTACTTATATACCCATAAGAATATTTTAACTCCCTATGACATGGCCTCCCAAGTTGCCAAAGGTAGTTGTCTAGTTTGCGAAATAAAAAGAAAAATATTTGTTCCGTTTTTCGGGTAGCTCCCAGTAACGCCTCAACTGTATGGGCACAAAAGTGGTTGGATCTGCGTGAATGAGGGACGTATGGTAGGTAAAGTAATAATAGAAACATAAAAATAACGTGTAAGAGCAAATACAATAATGGAACTTTCTATTAGAAATTTTGATCTCAATGGGACAGAACTCCACAATTCATATGCTGAGAACTTATTTTTCCATGATGCTCATGCAGTCTAGTAATTTACATTTAAATTGTTGGCAAACACACAATTAATGTCTCTATTATATATACATGAATCTGAGGTAAGATGACAACTGGATTGCACAATGTAGGTTAATAATAGCCAAACTAGAGTTTATTCTATTTCTAAAGAAAACCCAACAAGCATTGCCAACATATGAGGTTTCCTACCAAGAGGGTGGTGGAGGTGAGGAGGTACATAGCCTGTAATGAGAAGGTGGCTGAGCTTATAGAGGCTATTTAGAGTCCATGTTAACATGAGTGCCAATATTTAGGTGGGCTTCTTCTCACTTGTATTTTTCAATCACTTGTGACTTGATCCTCATAATTAACTCACCTAAATTAGTCTTCATATTTAATACTTGCAAACCAATTCTTAATTTATCACTAATGCATTTTCTTTTCTGTATAATAGTTGTAGTAAATCTGGAATCTTCCCAATTATAACATTCTGAAGCTTCTTTCTGTATGCCCTGGATGGCTGTGTAGCAGAGGATGTCCAACCACATGGACAGCTGACTTGCCGCGTAAAGATGAGCCTGCTAGCAGCTGATGGTGTGCTCTTGATTACATCACTCAGCAGTGGAGCCTTGTTTACTGCCCTGCTTATGTTGAATGGTGGAGGTACGATGACAGAAAGATCTCTGCCTGAATCTACAGTTCCTTCTGGGCAGCCTTAGTAACTGGAGTACAGGTTTTCTCTTTCACAGTGGCATTGCACACTTATGAGCTCTATATTTCCAGGCATAAGTCCAGTTATAAGGGTCCTTAACCAAAACAGGAAAAGAAGGCCCAGAATGCTGCTCTCTCTCTGTCTACAAACAATTGTGTCCTTTCCATGATTGTCACTAAAAAGCAGCCTTTAAACGGACACTATAGACACCAGAACAACTACAGCTTATTGCATTTGTTCTGGTGAGTAGAATCTTTACCTTCAGGCATTTCACAGTAAACACTGTCTTTTCAGAGAAAATGCAGTGTTTACATTACAGCCTAGTGATAACTTCACTGGCCACTCCTCAGGTGGCTGTTAGAGATCCTTCCTGGGTCAGGGCTGCCTAAAATGCATCCAAACATTCAGTATCTCCTCCCTCTGCATGCAGACACTGAACTTTCCTCATAGAGATTCATTGATTCAATTCATCTCTATGAGGAGATGCTGATTGGCCGGGGCCGTGTTTGACTTGTGCTGGCTCTGCCTCCTTGACAGTCTCAGCCAATCCTATGGGGAAACACTGTGATTAACTCAGACCACCACTTCTGATGATGTCAGCAGGCAGAGGCTGCAAACAGGGACAAGTATGATTTTACTATATTTAGGGAGGCAAGAGGGGCCAGGGGGGCTAGATGGTGGGTTTAACACTATAAGGTCAGAAATGTATGTTTGTGTTCCTGATCCTATAGTGCCACTTTAAGCATTGCTAATACCAACAATCAGTGGATGCTCGTGGTTAAAAAGATATCAACAGGGTCACATAGCCAACTCTTGTGTTGCAACTTCAGCACACTTCTCACATCCGTTGATACTGTAATACATAGAATTCATCAAACTGGACGTACACAAACGGCAAAGACTAATGTTCCAATATATTGCCATATCACCTACACCAGAACACCATGAAATGTTCATTCATATTCAGTTCATTCAAACACATACACCATGCTGATAGACTGGCTTTAGTGCTTAAATATACTTAAATATGCAATAAACATCTCTAATAGAGAATATATTAAGTGTTTGTAGACATTAAAGGTAAACTCCTAGCACTATCACCACTACATCTCTCTGTAATGATTATGGTTTCAGGAGCCCATTGGTGCACTGCATCTTAAAGGATCACTATAGGGTCAGGAATACAAACATGTATTCCGGACCCTATAGTGTTAAAACCACCATCTAGCCCCCCTGGGCACCTCATGCCTCCATAAATATAGTAAAAATCTTACTATATTCAAGCCTGAAGCTGCTGGCTCTGCCCTGTCTAACTCAGAAAAACAAGCAGTCTGCTGACATAATCAGAAGTGGTAGCCTGATCCACTCACAATGCTTCCCCATAGGATTGGCTGAGACTGACAAGGAGGCAGATCAGGGGCAGAGCCAGCATGATTCAAACACAGCCCTGCCCAATCAGCATCTCCTCATAGAGATGAATTGAATCAATGAATCTCTCTCAGGAAAGTTCAGTGTCTGCATGCAGAGGGAGGAGATACTGAATGTTTGGATGCATTTTAGGCAGCCATGACCCAGGAACGATCTCTAACAGCCATCTAAGGAGTGGCCAGTGAAGTTATCACTAGGCTGTAATGTAAACACTGCATTTTCTCTGAAAAGATAGTGTTTACAGCAAAAAGCCTGAAGGTAATGATTCTACTCACCAGAACAAATTCAATAAGCTGTAGTTGTTCTGGTGACTATAGTGTCCCTTTAAGTAGTCCTCTTCAACCTATTGTTCCTGTACGTTTTTGTAATTTTCTCATTTCTTGTTAAATCTCCCCCTTTGATAAAATTGTAAAACACTACGGAATATGCTGGCGCTATATAAATACCAGTAATAATTTTTGAATGATTTGACTGCTTACCTGGGGTACACCAGATGTTGCTCCTCCACTATTAATGCCAGAGAGCTAGATCTTAACAGCGGAAATTTCCATGATCTCTCTACTGGCTGGAAGAGCTTATCCAAGAGTCTTGGTAATAGTTCCACTCGGTTGTCTATTGTTCCCTTGGATCCATTACAAGACTGAAGGTTTGTGGTACGTAGGTTGCAATTCATTCATAAAAACCCACAAATTAAACTGTTGGTGAAAGGTTGTAAAAAGAGCAGTGTCACTGCTATTAGCTTTAATTTTTATGAATGAAATGACTGCAACACAGCTGAAAGGGCTTAAACTCCAAGAGCGTTTGTGAATCAACGTAGGACACTACTTATACTATATATGTGATGACAATTAGGGATGCACTGAAATGAAAATTCTGGGCCAAAAATCGAAACCAAAAATGACTTTTTCCCCCAAATGATTTAAAAAAGTTTTTTTTTCCGAAAATGTTATTAATATTAGACTTTTTAATGAATTTAAGTAATCTAATATGAAAAACTTCCCTTCTCCCTTCTCTTTCAGTGCTTCTCCCACTTAATGTTCCTCTCCCCTCCCTCTTTTTTAGTGTTCTTTCCCCCCTCCTCCCCAGTCCCATAGTGACCCCCACTCCCGTGTCCCATAGTGTTTTTTTTTCCCACCCTCCCCTGTCCCATGGTGTTCTTTCCCCCCTCTCCTGTCCCATGGTGTTCTTTCCCCACTCCCCTGTCCCATGGTGTTCTTTCCCCCCTTCCCCTGTCCCATAGTGTTCTCTCCCCCTGTCCCATTACTATCTTTCATTGTGATATATAATCATCCAAATTGTTAATGCAAACATGTTGTCTATTAAACTATGCACTCCCCCCCAAAAAATATCTACAAAAATTTTTTTATTTTTTTTTTAATTTCTGCAAATTTGACCAGTTTTTGGCCAAAACGGTATAGACCCATTTTCTGCCAAAAATTTCAGCGGCTGAAATTTTGGTGCATCCCTAGAAGACATCATAAACTGTAGTACTGCAATGAATAAAGGAAACCCTGCAGGTTAAGAGGCGGAGATCACTTTTACCAAAAGTTAACCCCTTAGGGGCGTACTATGATGTCCTATAAGAGGAGGGCTTTAATGCCATTGGGGTGGTATAGCACGACCAAACAAGTGGACCCTACCTCCAGCCCAAATACTCAGCCTCCTCGCCTGATTATGCCAACATGAGATCACAACTCGGATCGGCGGGATTGGCTGCAAGGGGATTAAGTGAATTTATATATAATTTATATATAAAATATATTATTTTATTAATTAAATATTGGAGACCTGCCTGACAAACAAGGCAGAAATAACAGAGAAATGCAGGCCCTGTTTTGGACCCTGTAACTTTCCAAAACCCCATTAAAGAACGGTGCATGAGTGTACTGTACTCATGCAATGTCTCACTGTTGTACTCGTGAGACATTGCTGAACACAAATATGTGTGTTTTAGAGCAGTAAAATGTATAATGCTGATGATATCATCAGTGAAAAGACAGTTTTTTTGTGAAAAATACAAATACCAAATATGAATGCTCAACTGGCCAGGGTTTGGGACTAAATGGCTACTAAAAAAACTGGACCTACCCCATTTTGAATACACTGGGTTGTCTACTTTTGTAAATGTTATGACAGAATGGGGGTAATTTTCATACAGTCTAAAAGACAACATAGACCCAGCAAACAAATTTGGCAAATTTCAGTGTGTAAAAACTGAAATGGGCAAGCTCTTTACTTGACCCTGTAACTTTCCAAAACACCATGAAACCTGGCTATGGGGGGGTACCATTGAATGCATGTTACATCACAGAATACAATATGTGTGCTATATTGCAGCAGTGACAGCTAAAAGTATTATGACATTCACAGTTACAATACAATTCAGAACTTGTGAAATACATATTCACACTTTTTTATTCATATTAAATTATGTTCCATATATAAATATTTGGTGTGTAATAAAAGCAGTATTTCTCCTGAACAAAATGATATATAGCTCAAATTCTATGATTTGATTTGATTTGGTTCAGAACTTGAACAATAGAGCATAACTAATGTAAACTAATACAAACCATTACCATATGCATAGCACTGTAGGGCACCTACGTTGCCTCTTTAAGCATAGGTTAGTTACCACTTAATCTAAATTATTACGTTATCTTTTCAATTGATAAGGTGGTTTTGAATCAAATGTAAACTGTGGGATATTTGCAGAATTTAGACCAGAAAGTAAAGATGAAAAAACGAATGAGTTGGTGACATGTTTATTTTGTTAATCAAAATGTTGTGATTCATTTGTCAACAATGTACAGCTTAGTGAATAAGCCCCTTAGTTTGACTGCATTACATTTTTGTAAAATGAATGCTATAATTTACCAACATAGCTTCATACTGAACAGGTTTCAGCATGTTTTAAGTAAGCTATGGAAAATGCGATGCCTTATTAAATGCTAAGCTGAATCGCTAATCCAGTTCCCTACTGTAAAAGGGTAACGAGAAAAAAGGGACTGGTATTTAAACAACTGTGCATTTGGGCACAGGTGACATACACGCACGAGCTACTTATAGTGCATTGTGAAATAGTACATCATCTTTATTGTCATGCTGTTGAAAGCCAGGATCTTTCCAAATATTATTTCAGAGACTACTACCTTGGGGCATGGCATGTTTGATTAACCCTTCCAAGTGCTTGCAAGCACAGCAAAGGATTGCAAAGAATTACTCAGTTCTGAGCATTCCGAGGTTAGCAGCAAAGAATCATTCTGTACAGAGAATTCAAAGAGAACTGGTACTGTAGACTAAAACCAGGAAACCAAAAATTCCAGTATTAAAATAAGTTCAGTAATGGAGTAAAAACTGAGCAAAATAAATAAAGGTGCATGTTTTTACCCTCCAAGTGTGGATAGGCACAAACAGGCACACACCCAGGCAGGGTGCATAAACAGGATACACAGACACAGGCATACACAGACGGGCACACAGAGACACAGGTGTGCATACAGACAAAAGACAGACTACACAGTCACATGCACACATACAGACATAGGCATACACAGGCAGGCATACATAGATACACACAAACAAGCACATACAAGGCAAATACAGGCATACGCATACAGACACACACACACACACACAAACTATCAGGGCCTACACTGCAAGCTGTTTCTCTCTGTCACATACAGAGTATGAGAGAGGAGACAGCTGCTGGCCCTTTCCTTCCTGCCACCCATTGCTGCCATGCTGCTCCCTCTTCTTGCCCCTATTCCTCTCATGCTGCTCCCTCTACTTGCCCCTCTTGCTGTTATTTGTTCTCTTGCCCTGCTGCCCCAGTAAGCCTTGGCCAGTAGTGGATGCAGCGCACTATGCGTTACTATGTAAAATGTGCTACCCCAGGACTGAGACTTCACGAGGGTGCAACACAATCGGATTACTGTGCCCGCATCCCCTCGTGCTTGGCTGAAATTAATTTATTTAGTATATTTCTGAATTGGTAAAACACTAAATAACCATTTTGCAATGGGTGCTCCCAGCCGGGCAAGGGTCCCCCTTGACAGGCAGAACTTTAGGGTGTGGTCCTGACCATTGCGACTGTGGTAGTTCCACCAATGGTACAACAATTCATCAGAGATGGTGTCGATCTACATCTGGGTCCTTAGGCCTAGCTAGTGGTCATATGTCTGTGCCACTAAGTCTGTACATATTTCCATGTTGTCACCACTTCTAGGAGAACAGCATTGATATCCCACTAACACTAGTTTAATATTGTAACTAAATATAGAGTTAACTACAAAAATTACATTGTATTATGCATCTGTGTTAATTTATTCTGTAAAATTACACTTTTTATTTATTTTAAAAAAGGGCATATACACACCACAACCACTATTGGTGCCAGCATGCCTCAGGTGCCTTCCCTATCATGCTAAAGGTATGATATTTGAATTTTCACCCAGCCTGGGTTGCCAGATGCTTCATTTTCCCTGAGAAATCTCTGAGCTGGCTAACCCAATATTTCAGCATATTTAAACACTATTGTTATGCTTGTCTCTCTACTTCCATGTTTTAAAACAGAACACACCCGTGGTATTTGTATAGCCTTTTCATCACAATGAGTAAATTAGGTAATGCTGAACATAAATTTTACATCTGTACTTGATAGTTACTTCTGTAATTGAAACTGTAAAATTTATGTTACTAAAACATAATGGCTTTATAAACCACAATGGTTTACACATACGATACCGTACCCCCAACTATTCCAAATAACTCAGCAGTTGAGTGGTTCTGTAACATATAAACCACAAGACTAAAGGTTAAGTGGTTATTACAGTCAAAAGAGCTATAAATGAATATACAAACTGTACATTATTATCGGAAGAGTTTATCCCACATTTTAATAATGCTGCCATAAAACACATTTTTGTAGGAGAGGAAAACGAAATGCAAATGGATAAGGATTTCATTTGACCTGGTTAATGAGTGTGTGATGTCTGTGTGACGTTTGCCCTTTTAACATGCTGAAGACTACAATTCACAGTGTTGGCATTTGTGCAGAGCCATGTATGGTAAAGTTAATACATATATACAGGTTCGCCACCAGAAATTTTGGGGCCCCTAACTCAGCTCAGGGTCTGGGCCCCCTGGGGCTCGCCTCCAAATACCGCCCACTGGGTCCACCTCCAAATACCGCCCACAGGAATACACACACAGACACAAACACACACACTGATACAAAAGGACACAGATACATACTAACAGACACACATACTGAAACAGACATACACGCATACCGGCATACATACTGACACACACATACTGAGACATACACACAAGCATACATAGTGACAGATAGACACATACTAACATACATACAGACACACATGCATGAGGACATAAAGACACATACATACAGACACCGACATACACACATACAGACATACTGACAGACATACAGACACTGACATCCATACACACATACATTCATAATGGCATACAGACATACACAGACATACATCCATAATGGCATACAGACATACATACATACATACATTCAGACTGACATACATGCATATATACAGACATACTGACAGACAGACATGCATACAGACATCCATACACACATACACACAGACATACGTTCATAATGATATGCAGACATACATTCATACTGGCATACAGACATACATATATACATATATAATGACATACAGACATACATATATGCATACATACAGGCAGACATACATACATCCATAGACATACATGCATGCATACATACATACATACATACAGACATACACATACATACATACACAGACATACATACATACATAGACATACATGCATGCATACAGTCAGACAGACAGACAAACATAGACATACACACAGACATACACACAGACATGCATGCATACAGACATACATACATCCATAGACATACATGCATACATACAGACATACATACATACAGACATACACATACATACATACACAGACATACATACATAGACATACATGCATGCATACAGCCAGACAGACAAACATAGACATACACACAGACATGCATGCATACAGACAGACATACATACATGCATACATAGACATACATACATAGACATACATGCATTCAGACATGCATACATACAGACAGACAAAAAGACAGACATGCATGCATACAGACATACATAGACTTACATACATGCATGCAGACATACGGACAGACATGCATGCAGACAGACATACAGACAGACATACAGACATACACATACATACAGACATACATACAGACAGACATGCATGCTTACAGACATACAGACAGACATAGACATACAGACATACATACAGACATACATGCATGCATACATACATAGACATACATGACAGATAGACATACATATACATACATAGAGATACATTCATACAGACAGACATACATACATGCATACAGACATACAGACATACACATACATACAGACATACAGACATACATACATACACAGACAGACATACATAGACATACAGACAGACATACAGACATACATGTATACAGACATACATACATACACATACATACAGACATACACGCATGCATAGACAGACATGCATAAACATACATACATACATACAGACAGACATACATACAGACATACATACACATACATACAGACAGACATACATGCATACAGACAGACATACAGACATACATACGTGATACACATACATGCATACAGACAGACAGACACACACACATACACACACAGCTCATTTTCCAGCCACCCTCCTGTCTCTTACCTTTTCTTTGCAGGAGTGTGGCTGGGGCTAAGGGGAGTCGGCGCGGCTCTCTCTTCGCTGCCTGGCTCTCCCTTTTCACCGGCGCGCGCGCTCCTCCCGCGCGGAGTGAGCAGGGAGGAAGTGACCACTTCCTCCCAGGAGCACTTGCGGCTGTTTTTTTTTTTTTTTTAAAGGGGCCCGGTCGCGCTATACCATGGCCACAGCGCTGACCGGCCCTTTGAGATATAGGGCCCATCAGGTGGCCCTAAGTGTGTGGGCCACCCGATGGGCCCCACATGTGAGGCCTCGGCGGCCGGGCCTCCCAGGATCACCGGGCCCGTGACAACCGTTATGGTTGTCAACCCCTGATGGCGGTCCTGCATATATACTATGGAAAGTATACAGATCTGGAGCACAACTATCTGAAATTCTGCAACATGCAGACCAGTATTCATGCCATACAAACTTAACCCCTTAAGGACACATGACATGTGTGACATGTCATGATTCCCTTTTATTCCAGAAGTTTGGTCCTTAAGGGGTTAAGGATACCCACTTCTAGACAGCATCATTCTGTTATGTTTAACAATACTGTGCATCAGTGTTGACGCAGCGTACCTTAACCAGCAACATTTTAACTAATGCGGCTGTGCGTCATCAATTTTTTTAAGCAGGATTCCTTGACCAATGACATGTTAATAGACATATGCACCCACAAGGTGTATTGATTTACACGCAAGGGGTTCTTTTAGGAATCCTAATCTCTGTATTGACACGATGCATCATACTGGCTTCATAAATGACGTGACATGATATATTTGGAACAAAACTTTTTCTAAATATTACGCAATTACGGCATCATTCCAGCATTGCCGTTCTATAATGTTTTGCCATTGTGGTGACGATGTATTTGCTCACGCTAAAGCTCAGTGCCCTGTTGTGTTATTTAGTTAAACAAGTGTGCGTTCCTGTGTGTTACTGATTTATCTGGTTTTGACATTGGCTTGCATTTTGACTTCGTTGATCTCTCCTGTCCTGACCTGGGCCTCTTCATACGTCTTGTTGATCCTCTGTACTCCTTTGAACTTGGCATGTATATTGACTGTCTATATGATCATCATTCGTTATCATTATCACCATTTATATAGCGCCAACAGATTCCTAGCGCTTTACAATATTATGAGAGGGGGGATTTAACTATAAATAGGACAATTACAAGAAAACTTACAGGAATGATAGAATTAAGAGGACCCTGCTCAAGCGAGCTTACAGTCTATAGGATCTATCCTACACGTTAAACCTTGCCACCCTAAGGACCAGTAATATCTGCATTTTTCCTCTGCTGTCATAGATTTGCATGTTGGGACTCTGTGCTATCCTAACAACTAAACATTTTGGCCCACTCAGCTATCCCAAAATAAAGGAAACCCCACATGAATAGCAAATTTATCCTGAAGCTACTGAATAACAACTATTGCAATAGCTGCAAAATGTAATCATTGTTATTACACTGTTTGCAAACATGAATGGGGTATGGTGGTTAGTACTCATATGTATTAAAAATATCAGTTGCAAAGAGGATAAACAGTCTATGCCCAAACTGTACACATTATTTGATGTATCAAGGGGCACAATTAAAAAAAAAAGGCACACATGATTAAATTTGATTTTGCAAGGAGAAACAGGAGACACAAACTGTTGCGCACCAAATGGAATCGGTTGAGACTTTGTCAAACAATAGGTCACATGAAAGCAAAATCTTAAAATGAACACAGAATTGAATTATCAACCTTTATAAACCTGTTTAAATAAAACTATGAAAGCACCACTAATTGAAATGGAGGGGCGGTTGCTCCCATGTGCCTGTTTGATGCCCACCTAAAGATATCAGGGATGGTAGCCTCCATCTCTACTTAAAGGTAAGACAGTAGGAGGAAAAAGGGGCACAAAAATGTTTTTAAAATAAAAATGTATAATGAAGACATGCCACGCACAGTCTCCTTATATGCAGCCATTTCACACATGATACACAGCTGTCCCCACAAACAGCCACCCAACACACAAAACAGATCTAAACCCCACACAATGGACACAGACGTCCTTTATGCACAACTCACAACACAGATAGTGCACTTCCTGCCCGGTGTCTGATGTCCTTGCTACGAATCTTGCTCCAGACTCTTTTGTGGACATGGTTACCATATTTTGCCTTTTTTACCATATGCAATAAAAACTCTGAGGGTCTAAATCGGAATGTTCAGGAAATAAATCTCCAGCTGTAGTAGAACCCCAGTTCCCATGATGCTATGGGAGTTGTAAGTATGTAACAGCTTGCGACCCACCTTTTTGATACCCTACCCATGGTCTAGTGTTCTTATCACCTGCGTAATTCTACAACCTACAGTATTTAAATGTAAAAATTAACGTGGATATAAAAATAAGACAAATACATATAATAAGGTAAGTATTTTTGATGATTATTCTCCATCTGTAGCTGGTTATGATTTTCTAAATATCAGGAATAATGCATGCTTGAAGTTTCACAAATCTAAGTGCGTTATAAAAAATTTACTTTTGCTTTAATTTTTTTAGAGATTAACAGTAATTTTATTTTTATTGAAAGCACAACATATATAAAATAGTACAAATAATTTTGCTATACAAAATAAACAAGAATACTTTCCAAGCTTAGTGGCACTTTAAAAGGCATTACATTTAATAAAAATACCATAATAAAAAAAAAATGATAATATATTCTGATTGCCAAAGTACATTATTGAAATTATTGGTATCTTGGTAGATACATTGCGTAGTAGCATGACTATGCTGAACTTATCCTCACAGCTGACCAGACTGGAACTGTGAATTGTCAGCATCAGCGTATCACCGTCCAATCAGTACTAGCTGTTGGCAAAGTGAGTGTATCACGGCTACTAAGTTAGCAGTTTGATCTATTGTTTCTATGTAAAACTGAATCAGTTTGCAGCAAGTGACTGTCCTCAATCTGTTTTACATTGAAATACGGAGGCACCACATACAGGATAAAAATTTAAAAACATGCATGTTAAAAAGACATGCTGTTTTATCCTCAGCCTGAGTCCATTTAGTCTGGTTTATTAAAGATGCTCTCAACTGTAATGGTTACAATGCCAAAGGTCCAAAGGCACTATCCATCTCTTAAGTCAAACATTTTTGAACAGTGTGACACTTATAATGCTCTGGTCCTTCACACAAATTTCTCAAATGGAGGTACTAACTTCATATCAGCATATCAATTTTTTCCATGGCTGCTGACCAATCCTTTCCCCCCTTTGCCCCCAACATAAACACATGAGACCAGAAATATAGGTAAGGGCAACGGCCACAGCTTTATTCATTTTACAACTTTTTAACGGATCAGGATTCTATCCAACTGTCAGCTGTTGGGTAACTTCCCCCAACAGACAGGTACCACTTCCTTGTCCAGAGTTTGTATCAGCCTGCCTACCGCCATCAGCCCTCGGCAGGCTGCGAATCCTCAAGTTGACTCATCGCTTCCCAATACTTTCCATTTCGCTGGCCAGGAGTACCGCCACCGCAATGTCGACCGAGACTAGCCCCTTTGGTCGGCATCGCGCCCCCGCAGCCAGCGCCACCTCCAACCCAGACTGTAGTCCCAAGTAAAAAATGTCCAGACCAATCCCCGTCAGATTAACTCCATCTCTCCTCATTAAAACCACATTGCCGAAGATACAGCCGAAAACGACCTGAGTCCCATCTGCCCAAACGCTTAATCACAGCCGCTGAATAACTTAAGACTCCCGCATGCATGGTGGCACCAATCTGAAAGGAGTGAGCAGAGTACCCAGAGACATCCACTCCATAGGCACACAACGCCAACCGAAGCAATGAGGAGAAATGGCACAGGCCGCCGCTTCCTGCACCAATTCCAACGCCCTATCAAAGGAAGCATATCTCACCCGGCAGACCTCCCTCCCAATGTCGTCTTCACCAATCCCCCGGCCGTGTAGGAAAGGAGATGAATCAACAGGAAGGACCCTGCTTCCTTCTTGGGAACCAGTCCCAACGGGGAAACACGCAAATTGGAAAAGGGGGGGAAGTCAAAGGGCCCGCCATCCGCCCCAACCAGACCTCATTGTCCAGTTTGTTCTGCAAAATCACCTTTTTCCCTAACACCGACTTCAAATTATCCACGAAAGAAAAAACTTCTGAAAAAACAAACGGTATCCAAAAACCCTCAGAAAAGCCCCCATCCAAAACGTCTGCAGTGCACCTATTGGGGTACCCAGCGAGCCCGGCCGCATCCTTACTATGCTCACCAGCGTCCTCACCTCTAGATACATCATCCCTCCCTTACCTTTTTTTAAAGCAACGCATATAGGGATGCGCTCCTCCACAATGGGCGCATTCATGCCGGAACCAACAGGAGCCAGCATACTCCTTCTTTCTGTCCTGCGAAGGCCTACACAGAGTCATCAGTAGCAGCCATAGGCTACCATCCTGCACGCTAAAATCTATCCCCGGACACGCCGCCATCTTCTGCCTGAATTGTTGGTCATAGCGAAACCAACATTGCCCGCCATAGAACTTATAAGCCCCCCAAATTAAATCAATATAGCCAAACAGAGAGCGGGCCTTTTCTGGGAACCGCCACGCCAGGATACTCGCAAAAACGTTAAATCCCTGCAGCCAGTTCCCAAATGTGTGCGGGAGTTGTTTTGCCTTATCCCCGTCCTGAGCCTCCCCTCTGCGTGGCCTATCCTCTAAGGCTAAGAAGTCCACATACTCATCCCTCAGAATCCTCTCATGGGTCTCGGAGGGGACATGTATCCCCAAGTGGAACAAAACACAACCCGGGAGGGCGATACCCACTCGCACAGTTCACCTGAGCGTGCGCTGGACTTAACCCACTACCCTTGGGCAACTTGTCTAAAACTGCACGCAGCAATCCCAGCACATCACTAGATTCCCCATGCGCCCCATGCATATCACCCCAAACGCTAGCGCAAGTTAACTCACCCCTGGGGAGATGGACAGCTGACTTCAGGACTGCAGGCTGGGCTGTGTCCTCCTCACCGTCCACACCTGAGGTCGAATCCGACTCTTCCCGGTAGGCTCCACTCTCTCCAATCCTCCTGCCCACTTCAGGCAGAGTTCTGCCAGCTTCCTGTCCTCCTTTGGTGTCTCCGTCTCGCCGGAGAGGTAAAGGAGGCAGGGCCTGTGATGTGGCCGTGTCCCTGCACTGACGTCACCCGTCTTCTTCCTGCTATCCGACGTCTTGACGTCACATCCGCCCATCCCGGAAGAGAAGGCAGACTTAGTGAGCGTCCCGCCATTTCGCGCCATCTTGGGCCCTCACCTCAACGTCCCCACTGGGCCGACCACTCCGCCTGGGCACACTAAGAACCTCTGCTGCCGTCCATCGGCCATCCGCTTCCATCCTCTCATCACGCCAGGTCCTGCTGCTCCTCACAGGGATGGGTGACAACTGCGTCGGAGGCCACTTGGCCCTCCGACTGTGTGCAGGGGATACCGGCGCTGTCCTCTCTGACTCACCATCTCCCAATCTTCCTACAACGCCGGCCACCACCGCATCCAAGGCACCTGAGCCATGGGACTCCAGGTAAGCCTGTAACATCGCCCCATCTCCCCATGGGACCTTGCTGAGGATGCTGCCGCCATGGTAGATTCAAACTCCAACTCCTACTACTCACAAGACAGCACAACTACTAGTTATTTATTTATCTTTTTTTTAGGAAATGCCAGCCAAATGCCAGAAAGAGCGGGAAAGAGTCAGGGTCCCCTACACTCCTTCTAGGTGACTGGTGAGTCCCCTCCCCTGGTTCTTCTTTTTATCCCCCTCCAAGATGCAACAATGTTTGAACCTTTGTGCCATCCCCCTTACTACTGGGCAGCAGTCGTGTCTTCCCAGTCCAGAGCAGTACTCTCTTGGATGGATTTTATTGGCTGGAAGTGTTAGCCAATAAATTTGTTCAAATTAGGACACAACTTACACGACCAAACAGAAACTTCTACTTTAGGGATATCTAAAAAAAGACAACAACCCACGAAGGTCTGTAGGACCCAGGTAAATGTCAAACCATTTCAACTCCTGACAACATAACAACTATAGTGGCTTTTAGCAGATGTAATGCTGAGAATGTCCCTTTAAAATGTTATTTTCAACGCTATCATAACTAGCAGACAATTATATTACACTTGTGAGACCTTTTGTTTCTGGGGGATTTGATGCTAATTATAGCTTTTACTGTGATGAATATTACGGTTTCATTAATTTTTTTTAAATGCACACAAGAAATTTGCTCACATGTAAGAGGTAACGGGAGACTGTTACTTGCAAGATTTTTTGCACAGCGCAACGAAAAGTTAACTTTGGTTTGTGCTATTATTTAATTAGAACTGCAGTGACCTATAAAGGATTGAAAGTTACGCACTGTATATCCTGTGTCGATCGTGACGACAGTATCTGTCATGACATTTATCATGAACAAACTTAGAGCCATGCAGCAGGCTTCTGTCAATCTTGCAGGCATCACAGAGATAACAGTATATAACATATATTTTACAGAATAGGAAAATAATTCTCGCATGTTACTTACTGTATAACTGTTCAATACGCAAAGGCTCAAAATTCTGTTTTTAAATATTCTAAACATAATATATGACAGATATTAACCATGTGACCCATCTAGACCTTGAAATATCTATCTAAAAACCACAATCCACACTGTACATTATGTTTCTTACTGAGAACAGTAATGTGTTAGCCCTTACTACCTCTAAAAGCAAAAAATCACAACTCGCTTGAATTGAAAAACACCAGTGAAAAGATATTAAGAGCAATATAACTACTCTTACTTAATCTGTATTTACAAATATTCCTCCCAAACCTTTAACCACATAATAAAAGACAAAAATATACAGATAAAAAGATAAGAAACCATACATCGAATAGTATATATGGCAAATATGGAACAAAAGTGATGATATTATGAACTCACACCACCTCTACCTAAATTCTATAACTTCTTTTTTGCAAATTATTCACTTAAATGAGAATTAGAAGTGAATTCAAAATCAAGGGAAAATAGCTGATCTGGAAACATTCTGTAAATCAGCAATGCCTCTAGTTCGGCTACTTTGGCCTTAAATTTGAAAATAACTTTGAATTCACTTGGAAGTTCCATTTAGTAAACACCCCATATATGTAATGTCATCCAGTTCAGGGGGTAGACTTTTGTTTAATCCACATTCTTTTAAAAAAAAACCTTTTTTTAACATTATTAAATCTCAGGAATTATCTATAAATTTCAGGTCACTGCTAAGTATACTTTTTTCCCAAGCATATCTAGAAGAACAACCTAGTTTTAGTGCTTCAATAGGTTAATCAGGCATAGTGTTCCATCTCAGTAGAATAATTCAGACATGAAACAGCAGCTGAGTTCTGTTTTTTCATATGCAAACAGTTATAAAATCTGCTTGAAGGGAACCGTTATCCAGTCTATGAAACTATAATAGAATTCATTGCATATATCAAAACACAACAGCCCGAAGTATATCTGCCAATTAGGGACAGGCTTAGTTTGGACTTGATGCAATTGGCTGCAATAAATGATAAAACAGCCAGTATGATAAGCTGTTTCGCTATCCAATTCCCCCTGAAAAAGTAACTCACTATATAGTAATCATTACTACAATTCTGTGTTTAGTGAATAAGCCCCCACTGAAATGTGGTTAAAACCAACATACATGTTTTTTTTCCTTAAATTGGCAAGTATGCACTGTCACTTTAAAAGCTCCATTACAGAATTAAAGACTCAGAAGTAATTTCTACCTACTAATCCTTCTAATGGTACAATAAAATGCTATTTATTTAGCGTGTATGTTTTTCTTCTTGAAAGACGCTTAACATGACAGACAGTGACAGGGTGGGAGAAGGTGGGGGAGAAAGTGACAGTAAATATCATAAACTAGTCTTAAACTACCGATTTGAAAAAAGGATGCATTCAATAATAAGTGATTACACTTCAATATACCAACAGCAAACTATAAATGTTATAAGACATTTTAGAACTAAAATACATTCATCCTATTATCTTTTTTCATTTATTATTTGCTTTATGGGGGCTTTTAAATGCCTTATTATCTCATCCTATCTTATCTCAGTGATGGTTTACATAGCACTGAAGATATTTATTTACTGCATTCCACATGAGGATGCTAAAAGGAACACCGCACTGCCCAAATAATTTTTTTTTTAAATTACTTTTTAGTATATATACCCACATAAAAACATGCATGCCTTTAATTATGCCTTTTTTTTCATTGGGCTATATCTCAAAACAGCTTGCAATAGCTGCAGATTTATTGTCTGCAGGTTTTGCAATCCCTCGTCTTCTTCCCTAGCCCAGACATTCTATGGCTGTCCAATTACAGACTCCCAAACGCAGCTCAGAGAGAAGTCTTTGTAAGGCAAGTGCCTGACACGTGAGTTTAGCTACACTGAGCTAACCAAACCAGGAAGTAACAGGACTAATTGATTTCCTAGGGGTCAGGGGGTGTAGCAAGAACATTTATAAACATGCCAATTTCTATTGAAATCTTCCCTTTTTGTAAAATTAAAAAGAGGACACACTCTTTACACATAAAGCACTGCATTTTAAAGTTTGGTTCAGCATGATATGAAATTTATTATACAAGTTAGCCAGTACTGAAAAAAATATAGGGCATGATAAGATGGCTATATTTTATATTACATTATCTATATTTTAAAATAAAAACAGCCTGGTGAAGTTTTATGCAATTTAAATTATAAAAGTGCGGCTTTTATTATGAGTGTTTCAGAATATGTATTAGTGGATCACTAAAAGGAATGAATGTACAGTTTAACAAAATGTCAAATGTGCTTGCTATGCGGAACACTAATTAAAACTGATTCCAAGAGTGGATTTCCTAATGACATCAAGCTTGAGAAAGGACTGGATATCATTTGTTAATAATAACTCTCAAAGTGTCTGGAATTGTTCCTCTTTGAGTTCTGGAACAAGAAGAGCAGGATGCAGTAAACACATTTGCCAAAAAAAAAAGAAAAAAACTTATATCTAAACATATTAGAAACATATAATTTTAACAAGCGAATTGATTCTCTTTGTAAACTGATATGTAAAAATGCTAACTTGCCTTCTCACTGTAATCATTTTTTTAATAAAGATGTTTATAAAACAACACAGTGGATTACAAAACAAGTAACTGATGGCACACAAATTAACAAACGATGACAAAGGGCCTCCTGAAAATAGTTTAAAGATTAAATGAAGCAATATGTAAAGTTGCATAGGAATATTTCAAACATCCTTGCCAATTATCATCCATTTGGATGAAGGAATTGCACAGCCCAAGGCAAACCAAGTTGGTCTCGCCCATAGACGTAGGTACGCCAACTAGGCAGGGTTTTGCTCCTTGAGGGTAGGGCCAGACAGAGAGTGGATTTAGCCACCACATGCCTCCTTTCATTTGAAGAATGGGAAAACCAGTAGACTCTAGGTCAGGCATAGTCAACCTTCGGCACTCCAGATGTTTTGGACTACACCTCCCACGATGCTTTGCCAGCATTATGGGTGTAAGAACATTATGGGGGATGTAGTCCACAACATCTGGAGTGCCAAAGGTTGCCTATCCCTGCTCTAGGTAAAAGCTGGTAAAGGTTTCCACACAATGCTTCCACAAAGGAAGATAGATTTCCAGGTATATCTAATTAACAATTTAATATCTACAGTTACAGTTGAACTGGGAGGGTCAGCCCCCAGCTGCTGCAAAACTGCAATACCCATGATGCTTTGTCAGGCTTTAGACTTCTACGACAGAAGGGGCACTAGCTTTTAGCCACCCTTGCTGCAGAGTAATAAGGTGGCTTAGAGCAGACAGTAAGAGAATGTACACTAGGTTATTTACTAAAATAAGAATTGAAAGCAATGTCAAAGTATATTTCAACATTAAGACCAGAATAGTTGAAGTGAAAGCTTCAAAGACTTGGAGAATTTCCCAGTTAAGTTACTTCAACCTTAAATTTGAAATTCATGTTGAGTTCACTTTTGCATTCTCACCTTATTGAATGACCCTGATGGTATTTGGTTATGATTGGCTTGTCAATAGTAATACATATTAGAAGGTATATTAACTAAACAGACACTTAAAGGGACACTATAGTCACCAAACTAGCTTTAGCTTAATTAAACTGTTTTGGTATATAGATCATGCATCTACAGTCCCACTGCTCAATTTACTGACATTTGTGAGTTAAATCACAGACCTAGTCACACCTCCCTGCGTGTGACTTATACAACCTTACTAAACACTTCCTGTAAAATTAGATCTAATTTTTACACTTCCTTTATTGCACAGTATGTTTAATTTACCATTTCTTATCTCCTGCACTGTTAATAGTTGGCTAGACTTTGCAGGAATCTCCTGGGTGTGGTTAAAGCTCAATTTACAGAGCAGGTGATAAAAACTGCTAAAGTAAGTTAACCTCTTATTAAAAACGAAACTTTTTTTTTTTTTGCATGCAAAATGCATGAATCACAGCCAGGGGAAGTGTGGCAATGTCTGCATAAACTAAAACAAAAGTGATTTAACTCCTAAATGGCAAAGAATTGAGCAGTGAGACTGCAGTGACATGATCTATACACCAAAACTACTTAATTAAGCTAAAGTTGTTTTGGTGACTATAGTATTCCTTTAAATTAAACTGGCAGTCGCATAAGCACTGAGACGAAAATAGAGAGGTGGAAAAAAAATCTGCCTATTATTGGAGCTTTTTATCCTAAATTGTACAAGGCTCGCTGAGCAAGAGAGATTTTGAGAAACTATCATGACACCAACGGAATGTGCCCAATGACTCCACATTAGCACTTTGAATTAGAATTATTCCAATTTTGCCTTGAAAAACCTGGATGAGCAGGATTTTTGCCTAACATGTGAATAGCCGGAAAATCAAAGTGAATTTCATATTTTACACCAAAATCATCAACCTAAAAATATAGCTGTCCTGGAGAATTCTTCCAATCCATTTATTCTGGCCTAAAATATAACATTTCACTTTAAAATCCTGACAATTTCTAGTGTAATGACTAACCGTATTAGTACATAACCTCCCAGCACTGGGATGCATGAAATCCAGGTGGGGGTTTTCAGTGATACAACCTTTGTCACTGGCGATGCCCTTAGTGGGCAGGCACGCCTGGGAAGTGGATGTGCCCATCCACTGAATGAGCATATCAGCCTGGCACCAAGCAGTCCAGGTTGATAGACAGCCTCCTGGCTGGCCCTTATATACAGGACCATGCAGACTGCTGAAGCACTCTTTGCATGGTCTTAGTACCCGCTAATGATGCGCTCAAACTGTGCTGTCCGTGACAGTTCCCTCATGTCATCCGGACAGCGGAAAAAAGACTCTGAAATTAGGATTGTCCCGCCAAAAGCAGGATAGCACGACAATTGGGAGCCAGTTAGTGATATGTGTACTGCATAAGTGAATTGTGGTAGATTGATCATTGAATTGTACTTTGTAGGCCACAATATCAGGAATAAAGGAATTTATTGTAGCTTACATTTTTCTGATATATATATTTTTTTGTTTCCTATAGTTCACTTTTTAATTAATTCATTTTCCGTTTTCCATAGGGCACAGTTCATTTTTTAACAAATAAAAATCTTTAAAAAACTTGCAAACAAAGTACCAGATTTCTTTTCCCAATTTCTACTACGTTAAAGTTCTTGTAGATAATTATTTCACAGGTTTAGTGAATTGTGAGATTTGCATTCATTTTCCAAAGTTTTAGCAATTTCTACTCTCATGTCTAATGAGTACAATGTAATTGTTAAACAAAAAATGCATAATAAATTTTGGGTGAATCCCATTCTAGCTTCATGAAATGAATATTATAGCTCAAATTACTTGCCCGATATACTATCAGCACATTAGCGATCATACGTCTCACATAACAGACAGGCTTCACTTGCAACAGAGCTTTTCTCCCACAGGAGAGAGGCCAGTGACCTTACAACCAGAGTTAAGACTAGATCTAATTACTTATGGTTTTATTTTACATTTTATACAGCAGATTTGAAGATATCGTTGACCTTTTTTAACCCTTTGAGGGACAGGAAGGTGGGCTATTCATTTGAATGCAAAAGCATGGCACACTTCGTTGGTCATTACAAGGTCAATATAGCTTACCCTGTAGATTGGCATTGATCAGCCTTTGCTTTGCAAATTGCTTTGCGCCCTCTAAATTATGTAATACTTCTTAGGAATCACCTTCTCAACCCTTTGAGGTTTGATGATAAAGTTCCATTTACTGTTGCGATAATTCAAGGTATGATTCATATCATGATTTGAACTTATTCTGTATCAATCACACATTTAACCCTTTGTGTTAAAGGGACATTCCATGTTTTATGCACACAAAGAATTCACATATCAATAAATCTCATCCTTCAACACAGTGTAAAGGCTTCCTTTTTACATTAGATGTCAGAGCAGCGTGCATACAACCACTCCTCCCCACTCCTCCTTGGCACCCTTACAGGGTTATTAAATTGAATACCACAGAGTGCCCATTTTAACTCTTTGAATTCCAGATGGGTATTCAAACGCCACTTCTCTGACACTTGCAGAATTTATACAGATTATATTGAGGCGTACCATATTATGTTCGAATAACCCTTTAATTACAGCAAGCTTGTGCCAAACTCTGAAAATGTTAATAAATCCATCTAATCCTCTGGTATAATTTATTTTTTTAGATATTTTCTGCTCATCATGAACAGAGTTGTTTTATTCAACTGGCAATAGGGTATGCACTCAAAGTGCACAGTCAAACTGGGCCCCAAATATCAGGCTTCTTCCTGGTAAGATTGTACTAGACAGCTATGTGGGATGTAAGACTCATTTAAAAAAAATGTTTTTTAAATTAATGTCTAATTTTGTGTCCCACTTCGATAAGTTTGTAAATATTGGTAAATTTTTAATCAGGGGTGTGGTACCAATTTTAATGCCTAGGACACCCCACTACCTTAGAGTGACTCTTGAAAAGAATGTTGTGAAAATATAAATCAACTTTCAGGTTTAGGTGCATTAAATTCTATTGTCTCCTTCCAACCGTGCCATCACTATTCTGCCACAAAGTGGCGTAACTGCTCAGACTAGACCAATCAGCACTCTGTATGTGACTTCCTGCAATACGTCTTTCGGGGTTCTGGCTGCATCCTCAGAAAATCTATTGCTATAGACTATTTTGGAGGTCTATTTTTTAGCATCTAGTAACTTCTTTTTAGAATCTGGGTCTGAAAATTGAAATCTATATATATAACATCTACCACATTCTTCAGATGCTACTAACCTTTGCCATCTACAGAAAGGACTGAGGTACTGCACAATAGAACATTTTAAGTCCTGTGCCTGATGCTTTAAAAAAAAAAAAAAAAAAATCTAAATTGGACTCTGTGATTTCTTTATGTAACAGATTGACTGGTCTATTATGGTCATTTACAAAAGTGTTGCCATTGATAAGGTGTGGCATAGATCCACTAGTGGTGCAATCTCCCCCAAAAAAATAAAAATAAAGTTAATCGGCAGAAACATTCTACTGGTTTCCATAGTAACAGATGGCAAGGATGAATATATAAAAAAGAAACACCATTGTTTATATTTTGCAATTCCCAGGCCTCTAGTGGCTGTCAGACAGACTGCAACTTGAGGCTTTGGACATAAAATAGATTGCATAATTGAATCTTTTTTATATCTAATGTCAACATGCAAAGTATGCTGATGCAAGATGGTGGGCACAAGTCTAGTGCTTTTTTCTGAGAAGCTTTTTTTTTTAACATGGGGAGGCCCCAGTAATCCATTATATTAACACGTCTAACTTAAACATTTTTTTAAAAATCTATCTATCTATCTATTTAACTATGTCTATCTATTTATCTAATCTTCTTAATTAGAGCCTAAAATTAAAAATTCACTTTAAATTCCTGTCAATTGAGACAGACATTATTGGATAATCGTGTTTGGGTATTTGTATAGCTTTTTTATTTTAGCCGTATGAGCAATTAGAAAGCTAGGGGACCATCAGCACTCTGAAAGATCTTACGTTAATATATCTGTATATTCCATATTTATGCCATTTTTAAAAATTTTACAATTTAAACATTTTTTGGGGATTCTTCTAGTAAAACATTTCCTAAATGATCATTTATGTGACTTAATTCCTATAACAAAGTTTTTCTTATCTGCTTGATTTAGTGTGCCATTCTCCAGTTACTTTTAGAAACAATAAGCGGATTGCTAAAGAACGACTGGAGATGTTCTGCCGAGCTCAATTAATTGTTACGTTTGGGTAACAATACAGATATTTAGATATTTATCTATTTTTTGAAATTCAACAAACATAAAGTGATTGCACGCAGGTTTCATTGTCTCATAAAGTAGTTAGACCTACTCTACAATTAATTTATGTTTTAATTTGGTGTGTTTTAATTGTTGCAATTCAAACAATTACATTATTCATTTGGGGAATTAGGGTTCAAATTCTGTCATAGATGGCAGTTCTTAAACTTTCTTATAATGCCAAGTGTTGGTTCTTAAAAACTTCTAGTACCCACAGAATTAAACTAGCTTTTGTAATGAATAATCCCATGAATTAATTTTTATTTTTTTTTAATATGTACCACAAATTGTATACAGCAATAATGAGATAAGAGTTAATATGTAACAAGAGTTGTTTTATTCTTAATTTATTTGGATATTTCTAATTAATTCTCCTTTCAGGTTAAAGGGAAATGTTTAAATGTTACATGTAGATTAGTATATATAATCTAAATTTGAAAGAACGTGACTTTGTAACTTGTTATCATCAAAATCATTCTTAAATGGTTTATTATTTATATTACAACAAATCATCTTTCAAATAGCTGAATGAATATTGGACGACCCAGGGTCTGAATTCAGGGCACAATGGGTTCAGAGTTACAATTAATTTTAGGATCGGAATTTTTAAGAATAACGTACAAATATGTACACATCATATACATATGTATATTTACAAGCACATGCATACATACACATATTTGAGAAGCACTGTGCACTCACATTTTTTAAAATTATTTTATAGTACTTTATTAAATTAAGCGGAGTACTTAGTATTTCTAAAATACTACATTTCAAACTTTGTTTTTATTGTTTAATTTTTAAACAACGAAGGGACATTAAACAAGGGATATTGAAAGGTCGTTTCCATTGATGTGAAATGTCTACAGAACATATTATTTTTTATGAAATTTCTTAATTTTGGTTTTGCTATTTAATAATATAAAGTGTCCCTGATGTTACCACTAGGGGTCATTCCCAAGAAAATTATATCTTGACTACTGGTCCTAGAAAAATGTATAAAATGTCCTGTGTTAGAAAGAATCTCCAAGCAATTCATGCAATCAAACCCTACTTTTTCCTAAATGATGACAGCATGTCCTCGCTTGCCACTCGTCATGCCTCATCATAATAGCCAAAGACAAACTGTCATGAATTTTCCCATCTGGATTAGACTGGTATAGTGTTATTGCCAGGAATTTGGTTTCGAAACTAACTTAGTTACAATGAAAGAAGATGTGATTCTAAAAAAAAGAAAAATGCCCATTCTTCACCACTCACGAAAAGTTTAGGGACAGAAGTTAAAGAACCCAGAAACTCCATGTGAGCTGATAAGCATTCTAAATTACAAGACATGTATCAATTGATGGGTTTCAAAAAAATTAATAACGCACACTTTAAATTTACGGAATATATGTGTCATTATTTTTAATATTATCATATATAATATGGACCAATGAATTTACGTAGTTTGAAATAGCAAAAAAAAAATCACAAACTTGTGCCTAAAACTTGGTTATTTCCCAAATTATGGATTCATATGGCTTTATGCTAAAACTATATTATTTTCCATAAAATTACAGTAAAATCTACGACATTGTACAATAAATTATTTGAATCACTCTATTGCGAATATAAATTTTTGGCGGTTAAAATTATTATCCAGAATTTTAGATAAAATATCTGAAATGTGTTCTTTTATATTATTATTATTATTATTACTTTTATATATTTAATACTTGCTACATATAAACTTTCTTATTAACCCAAAACCCTGCCTGGAAATACATCTAGCAATCCAACCATCACTGCCTGATAAAGTGTTTTAGTTGATCACAATAAATTGACCATCACAATAATTATAACTAAAAACACCAATTCATTGCCATCTAAGCTTACATGACTTATCTAATAATTAACTTGCAGTGTGCAACAACTGTTTAATGATTGCAAATGATAACTTTCACTTTGAACAGGAGAAGGAAGGCTAAAATAAAAATAATATACAAGAATTGACTTTTTGCAGCCCTTGTAATAAAACACCTGTTAGGCAGTTCACAGTGTTAAACTTATATGTACAGGACAGTGGATAAAGGAAGTAAATTGTAACTCCAGCATATTATGTATAGGAAATTGGGATTAATTGTAAACAGAGCTTTAGCTGTGCTTGAGGGATCAGTTTCAGAGTTTAGTTTACCACACTGCAACAAAAATAATCTTAACACGCTCCCAGTTTCCTAAGTCCTCATTGCACTGCCATGCCTTGCATTTTACAGATCTAGCTATGATCACTTACACAACACTTCATACACAACACAGTGCAGCAATGTGTGTGTCTGCCACTCAGCTCAGGACAATCTGACTAGTTTTGGGTTGTGGAGATCCAGCAATTTAAAGGTCTACAAATCACACCATCACTATCACTCACAATTCTATGTTTGTAGGGGTCTTGTCATTCACTTTGGACACTTCTTGGAAAGCAAATATGGCCAATAATTATAGTGGATATTTTTTTCCCCTGTATTTAAAACAAAACAAAACCCACAAACAGGTAGAAGATGTTAATAAATAAAAACACAGTGAAACTGTCCAAGAGGTTCTGCAACAGTTTCATCTGAAAGGTTCTTAAGCCAATTTAAGTCAACAAAGAGGTTCTGCAGCAGATACATTTAAAAAATTTAGTTCTTCAACAGGCAGAGGACAACTACGAAGTTCTGCAGCAGGTGCAACTCTGAACTCCTGTAACTAAGGTGGTGTCCAGGTTTTGTTCACTTTGCTATTATAAAAATCCAGTTCATGAAATATAACAATGACTTCCAGATCTATTTCTAGATTTTATTACAAATATCTCACGTGAAACCTGTGGGCATGAAACATGACATTGACAGTTCTAAGTGTGTTCTGCAGCAGTTTCAGATTTGTATTGGAATGAATATCTATGGTGTACCAGAGAACATGAATGGTGGTCCAGCTCATTAACTTTACACTTAAAGGAGAGGCAATTGCAAAAATAAAAATAAAAAAAATATACAAACAAACAATAAAAAACTATATTAAAAACAATAAACAACTTTTAGGACACCTAAAACCCAAAACATGGAAAAGAAAAAAAAAGCAAGCATATAAATAAATGAAATGGTTTTCCAACTTACAGCCAGTTGCTAGCATTAGCAGAGAACACAGCTAAAATCAACATCAACAGAGACCTCAAGAAGTATTCTGGGGTCATCCTGATGAAGGTGTGGGGGAATCCCAAAAAACAAACAAACAAAAAAAAACCCAACCAAAAACTCAAAATAGAACAGAAATGCAACAGGTTGGTTGTTGTAGATCCTCAGTGGTTATGGTGTCTTCTCCCTTACTGTCTTGTTAAGAGAAAAATAATAAAACATCCCCCAAAAATGAAATAAATGTGTTCTTGTAGTCAGTAAAGGACTCCCACCTGGGATATAGATATATGATAGGAGATGTCCCCTCTTCTTTTGTTAATGTATCCAGATTTAAAGGCTAATGAGAGCAGACCAGGATAAAGAGTTATGGATACATTGTATCTTGGTCTCCAATCTAATTTCCTGGGGAGGTGGGTGAGGTGCCAGTGAGCTGGGTATAAATGGTCACCCCCTATCAGCCAGGACCAGCAGGGGAGGTGAGGACCCCTCAGTCTCAGGTCTGTGAGGGCTGATCTGCAGGTGGCTGAGGGACAGCACAGCGACCTCTAGCTGCTGACAGGAGCCGGGAGTCAGAGCAAGCAGTGCAGACAGAATGTCAAGTCTCCTAGCAGTGCCACAGAATGCCCAGTGAGTGCGCCTCCTGCCTGGGTCAGACGGAGAATGTCAGCTCAGCTGTAGGAATCCCGGGATGGAGCAACAAGGAGGAGAAGGGGGGGTTTGAGTAGGGGAGGAGGAATGGGCAGGTCAAGGACGATGTTACAAATTACAAACCCCCCCTCCTGGGGCGGGACATGGTTGACTCCAGTTTATATACTGAAAGTTCCACACTTGTTTCATTCATTAGAATGCTCAGTTACTGGGAGCTGCTTCAGGGCGAGTACAATGCCGGTTCTGGTGCTGTCTAACACTCAGTACTTTCAGTCTGCAGGGTATATCCTATAGCAGTTATTTATATCATGTGGAGTGCACTCTTATGTTGCTGAGCCAGCCAGTAAGGAAAATAATGTACAAAGTTGCAAAAAGTTTTTGGGGTTTTTTTTTTGTGTTTGTTGCTGAATCTCCAGCAATTTCTAAAGTTTGATGACTGTACAAACAAACTGTGAACTGCTGTTGGTGAATAATTAAATAATCTGGATCACAATCATTGTGCCATTGTACAGCGCTGCAGAATTTGTTGTCGCTTTATAAATACAAGTAAATGATCAACCTGAGAAAATGGAGATTTGTTTTTTAAACTATAGGCTACCCTTAAAATACAAACCAAGAGGTTCAATGGCAGGGACAGAGCTGTATTCAGGCCCGGACTGGCCATCGGGCACACCGGGCAAATGCCCGGTGGGCCGCGGTGGCCATGGGCCGAGGCCGGCAGGGGAGATCACAGGATCTCCCCTGCCGGTCTATGCAGGGCCGGCACTCTCCTAGCGCCGGCCCCGCTGTTTGCCACGACGGGCCGGTGGGGAGATCAAGGATCTCCCTGACCGGCCCACATGCGGCCGCCGGCGGGGAGGGAGGGAGACAGCCAGCTAGCTAGGCTGGAGAGAGGACCCGGCGGAGCACTAACTTGCAGCTCCGCCGGGTTCCTCTCGCGAGATCCGGCGCGTTGCCATGGCAACGACCGGATCTCGCGAGAGTGAACTCTAGCCTCACAGGCTAGAGTTCACTCACCCACGAGGACCACCAGGGAACAGCTCCACCCCGCCTGCCAGCGTGCCGGACCCCCCCCCCCTCCCAGGCTAAAGGTAAGAAGGGAGGGGGGGACATAATGACTATATTTTTTTTTATTTACCCCCCCCTACACACACACACAATAACATTTATACAGCACTCTCACACCCATCACACACAGCACTCTCTCCCACAGCACTCTCACACCCATCACACACAGCACTCTCTCACACAGCACTCTCTCACACCATCACACACACAGCACCTCTCCCATCACACACAGCACTCTCACACAGCACTCTCACAATCACATCACACACAGCACTCTCACACAGCACTCTCACACACATTACACACAGCACTCTCACACACAGCACTCTCACCCATCACACACACAGCACTCTCACACACATTACACACAGCACTCTCACACACATTACACACAGCACTCTCTCACACAGCACTCTCACACCCATCACACACAGCACTCTCTCACACAGCACTCTCACACCCATCACACACAGCACTATCACACATAGCACTCTCACACACAGCACTCTCACACCCATCACTCACACCCAGCACTCTCTTACCCATCACACACAGCACTCTCACACCCAGCACTCCCACACCATCACACACAGCGCACTCTCACAGAGCACTCACACACACACAGCACTCTCACACCCATCACACACAGCACTTTCACACACACACAGCACTCTCTCACAGCACTCTCTCACACCCATCTCACACAGCACTCACACACCCATCACTCACACACGGCACTCTCACACCCATCACTCACACACGGCACTCTCACACACATCACACACACACCGCACCCTCACACACACACATACACCGCACCCTCACACACACACATACCGCACCCCTCACATACACACAGAACCCCCCCAACACACTGCACCACACACATACACAATACTTCCAAATATATATATATATATACACACACACACACTACACTCTTAAAGGACCACTCTAGCCACCCAGACCACTTCAGCTTAATGAAGTGGTCTTGGTGCCAGGTCCTTCTAGGGTTAACCTATTGTTTTATAAACATAGCAGTTTCAGAGAAACTGCTATGTTTATCAATGGGTTAAGCCTTCCCCCAAAGCCTCTAGCAGCTGTCTCATTGACAGCCGCTAGAGGTGCTTGCGTGCTTTTCACTGTGAAAATCACAGTGAGAGCACGCAAGCGTCCATAGGAAAGCATTATAAATGCTTTCCTATGCGACCGGCTGAATGCGCGCGCAGCTCTTGCCGCGCGTGCGCATTCAGCCGACGGGGCGGATCGGAGGAGGAGAGCTCCCCGCCCGGCGCTGGAAAAAGGTAAGTTTTAACCCCTTTCCAGAGCCGGGCGGGAGGGGGTCCCTGAGCCACATATGCATCACATTACACCACAAACACAACACGACTAAAACCGACCTTATTACACAATACCACACCACGACCAGCTCACTCTACACACACGCAATACCACAAGCAGGCTCCAAACACATGCACAATACTCTTTCCTGGCCTTTTGTCTCCTGGTATCCATTTATAGAGACACCAGAGACAAGTTGCAAGGAAACACAGTGCAAGCATGTTATTAAATTTGCTTGCACTGTGCAGAACAAATACAGGACTTTTTTCTCATGCTAGAGCTCTTCAGCAGAGCTCTGCGCATGGTCTGCCCTGGAAGAGCATTGAACCAACATGCTCACTTTGAGAGGAGGCGTGTTTGTCATTGGTGATGACAAAACACACCTCCTCTGCCCCGCCCCCTTTTTAGTGGGCCGCTGTGTTAAAAAAATGCCCGGGCCGAATTTTTCTCCCAGTCCGGACCTGGCTGTATTTACTAATTAGAAATGATTATTCACTAATCTCCAAACTGTATGAACTGAACTCAGAAATGCAATATTTGGGCAAAAATAACTGATCTATTAAATTTCTCCAACTCTGATATAGCCACAGCTTTTATCCTCGGTTTTGTCATCCATCTCAATACAGTTCAGAGTTTAGTGCAGGCGTAGGCAACCTTCGGTACTCCAGATGTTTTGGACTACGCCGCCCATGATGCTTTGCCAACATTATGGGTGTAAAAGCATTATAGGAGATGTAGTCCACAACATCTGGAGTGCCGAAGGCTGCCTATCCCTGATAGTGAATAAACTCTGGTATCTCTGGTATACAGGCATTTATTAATTAGCACTAAAGTATGGTGAAGGGAATTGCATAATGTAGGTCAAATATCTAAACTGTAAAATTTTACCAGCTTGTGTCCTTTATATTGCAATGGTTTGCCCTTTGCCTGGGTTTTCTAACCACCTTATTTCTTTCTAATAAATGTAAACATGAAGTTTAAATTCTACAAGAGATATATTTTCATTGATGTAGTAGGCTGTTGTGGTTATGGTGCTTAGACTGCCATTTGAAGTATTCAGTGGTCATTTTCTGGTTTGATAAAAGCTCACTTCCAATATCATGGTAGAGGGGCTTTGTAACAAATGCAGGCACTTAAAAAAAACTATATTTTAATGATTGATTTTCGTTTTTTTGTTGTTTTTTTTAAATTTATTAATGCATTAACCATTTGCCTCCTGGTTACAAAGAAAGGTGACAAGTCAATTGTGTATGTCTAATTTAGGAATTAATATCTCATCATTTTCTGAGAATCTCAATTTAAGGATAATTTTGGTAATCTGATCCTAATTCATGGTCAATAAATTGTATCAAAATAAATTTTGTCAATTTTACTTGAATGGTCAGATACATACAGATCGCCTCTGAAATGTTTTATTACACTTGATGGTTCTGTTTCAGTGGTTCTTATCTCTTGTCTCAGGACTCAAAATTGGGGCCTAATGTGTGGGTCCCCAAAAGTTAGAATAGACACATCATGTCCATTAAGTCCGTGGCAACTGTCCTTAGTAAGCTGTTTATTGTAGCAATCCTGTCTTCCCCAGTACAGAGGAGACTCCTGTGGCACTGGGAAGAGTCCTTTATTTTCATATATTTTGTTATATCTTACAGTTGAGGAATTAGCCACTGAGTTCATTTTACAATTCTAGAATAGCTTGACAAGTTACATGTACATATTTTGGGTCGATGTTAAAAAAGGTCAATAAAACAATTTTATCAGCAAAAGTGGAATTCAGTTTTCTGATTAATACTCTCGCTGTTTTTTCATAAATAACTAGTTAATAGCTTACCGATGAGAGTCTACCAATTCAGTCCTCAAAGTCCCTACTCTTTAGTGACTGCAGGACACCATACAGCAGATCATTCCACATTGGCGCAGAGTTGTCATGGATTAGATTGCAAGGACGCCAAAGAATGCAACTGATGTTTAATGGGTTAAAAGAAGTATGGCCAAGCTGTACTGGTTGCAAGCCTGACTGTTTCCCTTTCCACTCCCCATGCCGACAAGCAAAGCATACAATCTTTTCACGGCGATTGATATCTCAGCTTTGCAGAATTATCTCAGTTGCTAAACACATAACAGTTATCACTCATTGTAAACTTGTACATGCAAACACGGTTGTAATGGAAATACATGACTTATCTGCACATTTAAAGAAACCATATAATTTATACCTGGAAATTAAGATTCCTGCACTGAAAAAAACTAGTTTTGATAAGCATTTCCTGGAAGCATACAGAGGTGCCGCCTTATACATAATCAATATCTGTCTGTCCATCCATCTGTTTGCCTCTCGATGTATCTATCAATATCTCTCTGCCTGTATGTCTCTGTCTGTTTGTCCTCCCATCTGTCTATCTAACTTAATAGTAGCCAAGGTACATAGTATTGTGATTTGAGACAGGGGGTTGCTAGGTCCCAAGCACAAAGAAAACGTTGAGGATACAGGGCTTGATTTAAATCCCAAGCACCTGTAGGCAGAAAATATTCCCAATGCCCCCTTCCAAACTTCCAAAAAAAAACAAATAAGAAAAAAAAAACTTGACCTTTTAAATACAATACAAATTGTTGTATATACACAC